CGCGACTGTGTCCAACATTAACAGTCTTTTGTTGCTGTTTGTTCCTGGCTGTCGGTATTAATAATAATAAACAGTATGCCAGAACGGCTAGCACACACACATCACCCATTCCCATCCCCCATCCCCCTGCTCGATCGCATTAACAACAATCTGTGTCTTCCTTTGCAGAGGCGTTCAGTGTCACGATACCGTGAATGGAGCCCAGTGTGACTCCTGTCCAGCGGGCTACGAAGGTGATGGACGCACATGTTCGCTACGTAATCCTTGCCTGGACACTCCATGCCCCTCAGGTAAGTCGAAGCCACTCAATTGGAATGGTCGCGGTCTCGGTCTCCCATGGGTTTGTTTTGGGCCAGCTACTCCCTCCACCCCTCTGTTTGCCCTTCTAAGTGGAGTTTTGTCTTTTTGGGGATTTTGTTGATTTTATGGCTAATTTGCGTTTGTCGTGTGAGTGGGTTGATTGGTAAACATGGGATCAAAGTAGAAAAATGGAAGTTCCAACCAAAAGAGGAAGAAGGAAATACTTAAGCTGCTAAACATTAAACATTTAAGTTGTATTAAAAAATGTACATTTCATTTTAAATGTACTTAGTTTGACTTATTACTTTATCAGGTGATACACACTTTGGAAATTGCATTCAATACTTCACTTTTGTAGAATTAAAAATATTTAAACAACTAATTTCAAGCCTTATTTCACACAATTAAAATTGGTATGCCTGTCTATTTGAGTGTAGCGCACTCAATTCACACGATTATTTGATTTATGAATGCCCTCTTCGGCTTAATTCGGGCTCTGAGGACTCGCCGACCCTTTTGATTGAATAAAAAACCCTCTGAAATTATATAGTACCTGGGATAATTTCGGGTTTCCCGCGAATGTGTGAAACAAGGCGGCTAATCAGAGCTCGGTTTTACTGGGATCCAGAGGCAAAGTCATCAGCAACGACTTTCAGGCGTGCTGGAATGTTGGGGCCTTATAAGTCAAGTGGTCTAATTGATCTGCGGCAACAGTACAAAGAAGGTGCACCTAATTAGCCAAGTCAAATGGGACACATCACCAATTACCTACCTACTTACTAATAAACAATTCTCATTTGTATTAGGCAACGTTCTAGTGCCCTCGCATAATGTGCAACACTATCAGCGGCAGAGCCAGTACACGGCCCGCAAATACTCGGTCGTAACGAACTAATCCGCAACGGAGAGACAATCGCAACGTTTCGGCCAAGCTATGAAACACACCTAAATTACATATACAGAACGTAGAAAGTGCACATATTGAATTACTGTCTTTATAAAATAGTCATAAGTTGTAAGCTCTACGATTGGCATACATCGGAATTCATAGTATTAGCAGTCCATTTAAAAAGCCGAACGCACCACCTACGAAAAAATAGCACATACTATTTTTGGAAATGTATTGTAGATTAGATTAAATGCCCAGAAAGTGGAGTCTATAAACGTGTAACAAAATTTGTTTCCCCCCGCCCGAAATCTCCCAATTATTGTAATAAAATATGAATAATATAAATAAAAAATGTATGCTGTAATTTTTCGTATTTAATAAATAAACTCCACTATTGGCCACATACTTTTCTTTGCCTTTCAAAATCATACATGTATATCACAACCCACTTGCCCTAAAATCGCATCATGTTTATACACTATCATTTTCTGGTCAAGCCTACGAAGATAAATAGTGAGGGTAAGTGATCGTGGAAACGAACGAATTAAGACCATACAAGGAAGAACACTTCAAAATATAGTATACCCGATTTTTTTAAAGCCAATTCAAAGCCAGAATTAAAACAAAACTATCTTAAATTAAATATGAACGTACTTACATTTAGAGCAATTTTTCTGATTTTCAGACAGGGGTCTCTTTTTTCTTTACCTAAATAAACGGATTTGTAACGACCTTTCAGAAAGTTATTTACTAACAATAAATTACAAAATGATCATGTTTTTAGACATTTCCAGAAAGCAATTTTTTTTGGTTCAAAAAAAAAATAAAAAGAAAAATAATATAGTTAGCATGAAACAATAAATATTTTTAAAACGTAAATATTTTATTTTTACGTTATTTTATTATAAAATGTGTGTTAAAAGATAACCACATGGGCCAGCCTTTTAAGAAATCCCCTTTTCCCGAACATCAATATTTTTCATTTCTAGCTAGTTTCAGGAAGAGACTTCTGATATTAGTCCCTTCGATACGATAAAAAATGCATTACATCTCATTCATCTATTTTCTGCTACCATTTCTTTACCAAATAAGGCGCAGAATGCATGCAGGTCGGTTATGCACCCCATTTCCATTGCATCTCATGTCCGAAGGGTCACGAGGTCAACGGCACCAGTTGCCGGGACGTGGACGAGTGCCATCTGTACGATCCATGCGACGATCTTTCGATCTGCACAAATCTGAATCCGGGCTTCCAATGCGGTCCCTGTCCAGTAGGTTTCGATGGAGTCCACGCACATGGTTATTTCGGGGACTATTATCCCGTAGACTATCGCAAGCAGACTTGCCTCGACGTCGATGAGTGCCGGACTGGCTTCTTCAGGTGCCCGGATCACTCCACCTGCATAAACGAGATTGTGAGTCAAATATTTAAGGTCTATCTCTGTAGGGAACAATATTGTTTTCATAGATTGCATATGAAAATCCTGCAAATCTGCGAAATCTTGGCATAAGTAATTACATTTAAAAGAATATGAGAATTACAAGTGCAAGTAAAAAAAAAACGAATATAAAATTTAAAATAAAATTAAGTTCGTTAAGTTTCAGTGTGTTAAACATTTTGTGCGAATATAATACATCATGAGTAAATATTTATAGGTAATTGCATAGATAGGAACCTCGAACGGAAATCTATTGAAACAATTTTAATGACTTGGAGAGTGAACTTTTTAATTAGTTAATATCTCTCTGTTTTAAAAGTAATTGTTATAAGTAAAAAATTACATTTCCGAGTCAACTAAGTCTTCAATTTTCCCCAGGGTTCCTACAGGTGCCAGTGCCACGAGGGATATGTGACCAATAGCACCTACAGCTGCCTGGACATATCCTCGGTGTCGGTGTGTCCGGATGGAACCGTTTGCGACCGCAATGCCGTGTGCCTGGGGATGGACAACCTGCGCCACTTGTGCCACTGCAACGTCGGATGGGCGGGCAACGGACTGGTCTGCGGAAGGGATTCCGACATGGATGGGTGGCCGGACAAGTCGCTCAGATGCCCGGAGCTGCACTGCCAGCGGGACAACTGCCCCAAGCTGCCCAACTCGGGCCAGGAGGACACCGATCTGGATGGCCATGGCGATGGATGCGACGACGACGCGGATGGCGATAATGTCCAGAACAGCCAGGACAACTGCTGGCTGACCTACAACACGGAGCAGCTAGACTCGGACGACGACAAGGTGGGCGATGTGTGCGACAACTGTGTCCACAAGTACAATCCCAGGCAGCTGGACACGGACGGAGATGGACTCGGGGACGAGTGCGACGGGGACATCGACAACGACTCCATACCGAATGAGCTGGACAACTGCCCGCAGCTGCCGAATCCCAGTCAGTCGGATGTGGACAACGATGGTGTGGGCGACGCCTGCGACAACTGCCCGAATCTCCCGAACCCCGACCAGAAGGATCGCGACATGGACTTCGTGGGCGATGCCTGCCACCGGGACATCGATGGGGATGACGACGGAGTCCCGAATTCGCTCGACAACTGCCCGATGGTCAGCAACTCGGACCAGCTGGACACCGACGCGGATGGAACGGGCGATGAGTGTGACGACGACATGGATGGCGACGGCATACCGAACTACAAGGACAACTGTCCGCTGGCCAGCAACCCAAAGCAGGAGGACGTCAATCGCAATGGGAAGGGTGACTTTTGCGAGGATGACGAGGACGTTGACGGTGTGCCCAATGGCATCGACAATTGTCCGAACAACTCGATGATTCATCACACCGACTTCCGCACCCTGCAGACGATCCCCCTGGATCCCAAGGGCCTTTCCCAGGCGGACCCCAACTGGGTGGTGCATGCCAATGGCACCGAGATAGTCCAGACCCTCAACTCGGATCCGGGTCTGGCGGTGGGCAAGGACGCCTTTGGGGGCGTGGACTTCGATGGCACCTTCTACATCAACGACGACACAGACGACGACTTCGCCGGGCTTGTGTTCAGCTACCAGAGCAGCTACAAGTACTACGTGGTGCAGTGGAAGAAGGGCTCGCAGACGTACTGGGAGCCACGGCCCTTCACCGCCTCCGCGGCACCGGGCATCCAGATCAAGCTGGTCAACAGCACCGACGGTCCGGGGCCAACGATGCGGAACAGCCTGTGGCACGAGGGGAACACCGACGGAGAGGCCAGGCTGCTGTGGAAGGACCCCATGAACATTGCCTGGAAGGAGAGGACCTCCTACCGCTGGGCCCTGGTGCATCGGCCGGCCATTGGCCTCATACGCCTGCAGTGAGTGATGGCTCCTGTCTGAGTGCCCACGTCTCTAATCTCCTTCCCACAGAATGTACGAGGGCAACCGCCTGATCATCGACTCGGGCAATGTATTCGACTCCACGCTCAAGGGCGGACGGCTGGGCGTGTTTTGCTTCTCGCAGAGGATGATTATATGGTCCAATCTGCAGTACAAGTGCAATAGTAAGTAAAACCAGGCAGAGATGTCTTAGGCCTAACCCACCTTGCTTCCATGTCTCCCGAAACAGACCGAGTGAAGACACCGATCTACAGCGATCTGTCCGACTATCTCAAAACGAAGGTGGATCTGCAGGACTGACGAGAATCGCCATCCCCCCAAAAAAAAACGAAAGAGCCCTTCTTTGCCATCAATTTTAACCAAATTAAATATTAGTGCTACCACTTAGTTAATAAATGAGTTGCCAACCGAGTTGGCCACGATAGACGCATTTTTCAACATGAAGAAAGTCTGAAACTAAGCAGGCCATGACATAAGGAACTCAAAAGACGACAGCTTTCAAATTTATTTAGTTTGCCTATCTCAGTTTGGTGAACACAGTTACGCTAGGGAAAATTTGGATCGGTGAAGTAAGGAAAATACTTAACGAAAACACCACACACACAGCAGTCAAACCAGATAACCGAGTAAAATTCAGACAGTCCTGCTAAAATTTGTTAAGGGTAAGTAAGAGCAGATCCCCACCTCCGGGAGTGTTGTTCCAAATCGAGTTTAATTCAGATAGCAACGATGGCCAGCTGCGATGTGCAAGAGACTCCGTCCCAGGAGGAGTTGAAGAAGAATGAGAACATCAAAAATTTGAAAAATTCGGAAGAAAGTCGGCCGTTAAATTTCAAATCTAATATCGATATGGATGCAGAGCCGACCTCGTCGGAGGGCGAGCTGCGGCCAATGCGCAGTTCGGTGACGAAGATGACCAAGATTCCAGGCCCCATTGTCCCAGGTCCCAGCGGCGGCAGTCATCAGGCCAGCAGTCGCCTGTACAGCTCAGTACTTCGCCAGTCCAAGGATCCCAGCTCCTCCGAAAGTCAGCAAGTGGCTGACGATTCGGGCATCCACATGGACTCCTCGATCACCGAGCTGGAGACACCGCTGTCGGCCAGACCCAGTCCCATTCTGCACACGATTCTCGAACGGATTCCGGGCATCAGCAGCGAAATGGAACTCCAACGGGCCGAGGCGGAGAGCCTCAAGGAACTTCAACGGGTCGTCGCCGAAATGGAGGCTGAAGTGGCCCTAGATGACGAGGAGCTTCAGGCTGCTGATGAACTTTCGCTTGACGAATCCGAGTCGTTTGGTGCAAAAGATGATCTGGAGGTCAGGAAGGGTCCCGAGGGTTTTGACCTGGATACGGAACAGCTTTCCGGAAACGAAACTGGGCCGAAACCATCGCTCACCGATCCTAAACAAGGACAGATCGATAACAAAATGACAGTGGATCATTTACAGATGCAGCAAGAGGAATCTGAGGAGGGAGTGGAATTTGGGGAGCAGAATAAATCTGCAAAGGAGGAAACCGCTGAGAAGGAGGAAACTGCTGAGAATGAGGAAACTGCGGAGAAGGAGAAACCCGAGGAGACTTCTGAAGCTTTTGACCGGTTGGCCAATGAGCCAACGACAACCCAAGAATACCCAGAGATTGTGCTTGAAGAAACCTTTGAGGAATCTGTGGACAAGGAGCTCCAGACATCTGTGCCCGAGTCGCTGTTAGAGGAACTCGAAATGGCGATAAGTGGGGGCTGCGAAGCCGAGGAAGAGAGATTTCTGCGGGAAAACTTCGAGAGAAGCCCTGAAGTGTTGGGCCAGAAGTTTCAACGCTCTGGGGATGATAACCTTTCCACCACTTCGGAGGAGGGATTGGCCATCCGTCCCTCGCTGGCCAGTAGCCACCAGGAAGGATCGATTGAGAGCGATCGCCGTATGGTGCCCTTGGAAGAACTGTTTGATGCCGAGCACAATGTGGAGCTCCTGCGTCAGCTGCTGCAGGCCGGAGCCGAGGAAGCCATCACCGAGCCCGAGTCGGTCCTGGCCGAAAGTGAATCTGCGGAGGAAAAGGAGACGGAGGTGGGAACGGAAACGGAAAACGAGACCGAGGAGGAAAAGGACTCGGCCTTTAGGCAGACTGGCAAGCAGCCGAGTTTCTTGCGGCGCCTATTCAGCAGCAAACTCCTGCAGCTCAGCTATCCCGTACTCTTCTGTAGCTTAGCTTTTAGTTTGATCTACCTTTCGCGCAAGGAGTAGGTAACCGTTTTAAGAATGGAAATTCGATTATATATTCAAGCAGAAACAACAGATTTGACTCCGGTATATATGTACCTATGGTGCAAAGCTCTTCAAAATCGACCAACGCAATGGCACTGAGTTGCCTCAAATTAAATCTATTTTTTAAATAAATATTGCACATCAAAAGTAAGCTTACACGGTTTCCATTTTGTAAGTTTTATATGTGTATTTGAATTAAAGCGCCAATTACTTAACCTTCTTTTGGAAATGAGCGCTAGGTGGCGGTGGTGGGCAGAATAATCAGTGTTGGACATGGAAACCGTTATCGATAGGCATTAATCGACAGTCGGGGCAAAGCGATAATTTAAGCTCCGACTTTTCATGGGTTTATTCAGAAAACCGTTACTTTTTATGTCTTTCGCTTTCAGCGAGAATAATACGTCCCTTTTCCACTAATTAGTCTAAGGAGAATGACTATTCATTTTTTTAACAAAAGAAAGATTTTACTGAGCATATAACAAGCATTTTTTAAGCCCTTGCAGAGGATATAATAGTTTCAGTTTGAAACGCTGTAAAGTGCACACTTCCGAGATATAATGCTTTCAATTTCAGCAATACTCTTTTAGATTCATAAAAATCGGACGACTGTATCATATAACGATTTTAGTTTTACTTCTCTTGCATTTAAAGTTGGAATCAGCTTAAGAGAAATAAGAAGGACGTACTTTTTTGGATGTACTTTCCAAAGAATACAATATACCCTACGAGTATAAAACAAGAAAAGAAAGCTAACTTCGGGAGGAGCCGAAGTTGATATACCCTTGCAGAATATTCTGTAAGATATATTATCCAAAATTATTCAAATGATGCCGTATTAATACTCATACTTCTTTTGAATTTGACATATATACCCTTTTCAGCCTATTTTATTTTTTTATTGCACACTTGGAAAGTTTAAACTTAGGGAACAGGAAAAGAATCGGCCATAGTTGCAATGACTTTCGTCAGGAATATCAGTTTATCTTTACAGTTTATTTATTGTCTATTCTTTACATGCTGGGGAGAGAGGTTGACAATTTAAATTAGATGAAGTAGGTTGGTTTAATTCAGAAAGTTAAGGATTTGTTGGATATTTTCAAATGAAGGGTTTATTAATAGGTCAGTTAGTTTTATATTTGGGTTACTAGGTCTATGTGTTTGAAAAGCGGTGCATTCGTTGACGATGTTGAGATCGATATGACGTCGGTGGTGCAGAATCCGCATTGGCTGTTTATTGGTTGGGAGAATCGGTATTCATGGGTCAGTCTTGTGTGTCCTTGGCGAAGTCTGATGATCTTGGTTAGCTCTTTTCTTGGTAAGTTGCTAGTTTGTGAATTTTTGGTGTAGTCGTTGATGTTTTTCGTTGTTAGGCTTATGTTTTGGTACCATGGGGACGCTTTATCGAGAAGATTTGACTGATTTTTATGGTGATGCTGATCAAGAATATATATACTTTATAGGGTCGGAAATGTCTCTCTCACTGCGTTGCACACTTTTGACCAAAATTATAATACCCTCTGCAAGGTTATAAAAACAAGAGGGTGCCAGAGAAGTGCTGGGGGCAGATAACCTGGAACAACAGGAGTTGGAAACTCGGACTGCAGTACAAAAATTAGAACGTCAGCATATCGGAAAAAAGTTTGCAGTTCATTTATGGTCGTTGGGATTTATTTACGGACAAAAAGATCCGTACCGAGACCGGCGAGAACTAGTTCTGGTCAGCGTTTCTTAAAAGACACCCTAGGTTGTGGATGGTGGGGCAGCATCCGCTGCCAAGTTCGCCCCAATATTGCTACAATAAACTTCCGGCCTTAGATTTCAATTGCCTTTCCGTGTATAGGTGGAAAACAAAATGGGCGACCGTCCGCCAAGTTATCCTTAGCAATGGCTTCTGACATTAATTAGCCCAAACATGTTGAAACACAACAGCCACTCCTACTCCTACTCTTAGAAAACAAGGTTCAAAGGTTCGAATGTTATACCTGGCCAACCGATTGCCATATACTGCTAAAAAGTTTAATTTTCAAAATAATCAAAAAATCATAATGTGGTTACCATGTAATTTAAAACCGAGGCACTTAAAATAGGACAAAGGCGCACATACAGAGGGACAGACGGACATGGCAAGAGCTTATTATTGAAATTATAATATCCTTTGCAAGAGTATTACAAAGAAGAAGCTTCCTACACCTAGAAATTCAAATATACCCAATAAAAAAATAAATATTCAAAGAAGCATGTTACTATATTGTAAAAATACTAAGAACATATGTCTTGTGATTCTTTACTGATTGTCCGGCTTGGACTTCGGGGCGCTTTTATCGGTTTGAGGAGAATTGTTTTCTACCTCCCGACTTTCGGTCAGCTGGCTTATCTCATCTTCGTGGACTTCCTTGAAAACACGCTCGTCGTCCTGATTCTTGCAAAAAAAAAATTTCCACCAAGGCTTGTCATTGGTCACTTCAGGTACTTGCATCTCGGATTGTTTCTCACTGGTCTCGATGACGCCAGTGGCCATCGGAGGAGGATTTCTATTGGCAGCACGCCTTTTGGCGGCGTCGACCTTAGGCGAAGGTTTTTTTCTGCCATGACTCGGGCTTTTGGTCTTCTCTAACTTTGATTTGTTTTTAACCACACGCTTGGCGACACGTCTCGGCATTTTAAGGACTTCTTCAGAAGATGGCACCTGCCCCGGCTGAAATTTTGGAATTTTCTGTCCAACACGCTTTTTGATTGGTCCGCGAGGCCTGGGAAATTCGTCGCAAGTGGACACTTCATCGTTGTTGACCCTCTTCTGCCCGCGGACGGTTTTGGAGGTGGGTGCCTTCCGTTTTGCTCCAGATCCTGAAGGACCAGGTTTTTCTTCCATATTAAAAGTCGTTTCGTGGGGATTTCAAAATTTACTAATTTATCAAAAGTTGACAATCTAAAAAAATTTTCTAGCTCAAGTTATTTCGAAAATACGTGTAAACAGATTGAGTGTAAAAATAAAACTGAGAAAGTAATACAAATACTATGGGAAGCATAAGAAAGGTATGACATTAAGGTCATGGCCTGTTTTTTAATACAAATCGAACACATTTTTATACCCTTGCAGAGGGTATTATAATTTTGGTCAAAAGTGTGCAACGCGGTGAAGGAGACAACTCCGACCCTATAAAGTATATATATTCTTGATCAGGATCACCTCCTGAGTTGATATAAGCATGTCCGTCTGTCCGTCTGTCCGTCTGTCCGTCTGTCCGTCCGTCCGTCTGTCCGTCTGTCTGTTTCTACGCAAACTCAGTCTCTCGAATTGAAACTTTGCACACACCCTTCTTTCCTTTGCCCGCAGTATATATGTCGGAACGATAACTGAACTTAACCAACCAAATTTTATAAGGATAACTGATTGCTCGGAAATGCCATAACTTTGGTGTTTGTTAAGTTAGGAAGTTAAGATTTTCTATGAGTTTTAGTTTTGGCCAATCAATCTGACCTACCGAATTTCATGAGAATCGGCCGACTATATCCTATAGCTGCCATATAACTGAACGATTGGAAATGCCATAACTTTGGTGTTTTTAAAGTTAGGAAGTTGGGATTTATTAAGAATGCAAGGGTATATCAACTTCGGTTCCGCCCGAACTTAGCTTTTCCTTTTTTTTTTTTCTTTATTTCTTTAGAAGCAAATAAATCCAAGTAAGCCTTGAAAATACTTCAAATTCTTACGAATTTCTAGGATTCATTTCCACTTTGTTACCGTACAACAAAGTCAATTTATTTCAAAGAAAATTTTAAGTTAGAAGTGCGTTAGCCCAAAGTATGACACACTTGACGTGTGTCCTAATTGCTGGCTTGTCCCATCTGATTCACTACTTCGCGTTGTCCTCAAAAGGTCCGATGATTCCGGGGCCACAGCTGCCCTCCCTGATTGTGGTCGTGGCTGCGATGGATCTCATTTGGGACAACTGCTTCATTCCACGGCGATTCGACATTTTGCCGGCGGTTGTGAAGCGGATCTACGAGTTGGCAGTGGCGTTCCTTCTCCTGGAGATTGCCATTGACGTCGTGTGGAGGACAATGGAGCAAATGTGCTTTCTGCTGATCAAGATAGTGCTGCTCGGAACGGACCTCGTGGCGGAGTCCAGCTACGAGAAGTACGAAGCGTTCTGGGTGGGCAGCGTGACACTGCCGCTGTCCTTGCTGATCCTGGCATACGTGGGCCAGGCCACACACCACTTCCACATGCTGCACAACTACTTCTTCCGGGTGCAGACCAAGGTTACGCTGCAGGCGGACGGCGCCCTGTGGTTCCTGGGGAACAGTACGACTGCCACCAAGAAGAAGCTGCGCCACTGCATCCCTGCTCTCGAAAGGCACAAGGAACTGGTCAACAAGCAGCGGCGGGGAAAGACCTTTGTCAGCCAGTTCAACCTCGGCAAGTATCCGAATGGCCAATAAACAAGAAATCCAATACCTCGTCTTCAATTAGATTCGTTTGTTTCTTTTATTTTATACAAGAAAATTTATAAAATTAATTGTCATACATAATAATTAAATTGCTTTTATTAAATTACAAAATAACGACTATATTTGATTTGCTTTTACAGCACTCGCGAATTTGTTCAACAAGCTTGGACAATCTATATGGTTGGAAAAATCTATGTTTATATATACTCGTAAGTCTATATGTGTGTCTTGCAATTTGGTACCGTGTCGAGCATGGTATTATCGAGTTTCTTGTATAGGTAAATAATACTTAAGATTAAAACAATATTTTATTCATTATATTACGCATAAGTTCGACTTAATTTCATGTAGTTTGCATACCTAAAGAGCACATATGGGAGTTACTAATTTAAGCTCTATCGTCTCGTATCGCGATTCAAGCAGCTCTCTAAGCCTTGCATTAAGCCACGTAATATCCGGGACTGGGACTGAAGATGGATCGAAAACGATGTCGCGGCTATTACGTCGATTCAATGCAAGGCTCTCCAGTGAGTATTTGTGGGGCAGTGTGGTCACTGTTCTGACAGCGATAGTGAGCTTGCTACATCCCGTTCGTTATTTATGACCACATTTTACATTAAAGCAGCTTTGTTATCTGTAATTTATCTCTTCTAGTTCGCGACTGGTTGGTTTACTGCACTTCGCTATCACTATCACTCTTTTCTGCAAGCGAAACGATGGAGATATTAGTACGGGGAGATGAGCAGGGGATCAACACAAGGACTTACCCTTCTTGCCCGTGTAGGCGTGGCGTTTCAGTCGGTCGTATAAGTCTTCTTTAGTTCCATAAAGCGAGGCGTTGGACCTGGCCAATGTACTCATCTTGCCGCCGTGCAGACCTGGTAAAGATTTAATATTAGCAACGACTTCACAGAAAAGTATCAGTGAGTAAACCACCGGATTCGGCCGAAAATCTTAAAAGGTAGAAGTTTCTAAAATTGTCTAACTAAAATACAATACCATCTTTTATGTTTAACTCCTATTTTAGACTTTAATTAATATTTTACCTACTGGTACATATATTTAAAAGTTACCTGGTAAAAATTTAATATTAGCAACGACTTCACAGAAAAGTATCAGTGACTCAACCCCGGGATTTATTATGTTTTGCAAAACCACAGTATTCTGCCGAAAATCTAAGTTTCTAAAATTGTCTAACTAAAATACAATACCATCTTTAATGTTTAACTCCTATGTTAGACTTTAATTATATATTGTACTGACTGGCAAATATATTTAAAAGTCACTTTTTTTTATAGTTTGTTGAACACGCCACACAAGGATGGACCTTGTTTTCGTGTATTGACGAATTATTTCTAAAGATCCCAAAAAAAGCGGGTAACGGATGCTCCATTCTTGAGCAAATCAGGTGTGGTCATAGCCGGTCAAAAGTTAATCAAGATGTGTAATTACAGAAGACGACCGTGTCTGTCACAGTTACCTGGTAATGATTCAAAATTAGCAACGACTTCCCAGTAAACTCTCAGTGACTCAAGCCCCGGATTTGTTTAGGTTTTGCCAAACCACCGTATTCTGTCAAAAATCTTAAAAGATAGAAATTTCTAAAATTGTCTAACTAAAATATAATACCTTCTTTTATGTTTAACTCCTATGTTAGACTTTAATTAAATATTGTAGCGAGATATATGATATATTTTTAGGTTACCAAACTTGTCAAACTAGAAGTTAGTCAGAAAAATAAATTAAGAAGCATACACATTTGCTTACCCAATCCCAAATTGTGCCTATAAAATTTTATTTACATTAACGATTTCGATTCGCTTGTTCAATAATCGGGTCTGGAGGAAAAGGTGCTATGATCTGTAAAAACTATGGCAGTGGTATTTGAATACCCAGTTCGTAATGGACTTAGCATAACCAATTTTCTTCAGGAGTTGCGGATGTGGAGTTATCGAATTTAACTATATACCCCTATATGTACGCACTACTCACCATCCTTCATGTACGTCTCGTTGTAGAAGTTGGGCATCTCCCAGCCGTCCTCCTCGTCGTCGTAGTAGTGCGCATAGGTGCTGTGGTGCGAGGGCGCGATGGACTCCGCGTAGGGGGTGTGGGCGCCGTAGTAGAAGTTGACCTGGGACCCGGTCTGGTCGATCGCCGGCGTGAGCATCTTCTTGGGGTCCCTACGCTTCGTCGAGCGCACGCAGATCATCCAGATGAGCAGGACGATGATGATGATGAAGATCACCGCTCCGGCAATTCCGCCGGCGATGTACGCGAACTCAGACCGCTCCGCGCAGTGGGGTCCTGTGAAGGAGCCGACGCAGCGGCAGGAGGGCGTGCCCTTCAGGTCCTTGACACAGGCACCCGAGTTCTCGCAGAATCCATCGCACACATCCGTGCAGGCCATGCCGGTGCCATTGAAGCCCGGCTTGCACTCGCACTTGAAGTCCGACGTCTCCGGCACCATGATGCAGTAGGCGTTCAGGTCGCAGTGCGGTTTGCCCTCGGCAATGTGCTCGCACGGATTGGTGCACTCGCTCTTGGAGGTGGCCCCGGTGATCTTGGTGCTGTGGTTCGGCGGACACTGCAGACAGGCGGTCTGCTGCGACTCCGACTGGTAGAAGCCCTTGCGGCACTCGATGCACATGTTCAGCGTGGCATTCAGATACGTTCCCGCCGAGCAGACGGGCAGGGTGCACTCTTCCACCGAGCTGGCGCCCACCTTGGGCGTGGTCCTGCCCAGCGGACAGGCGGCGCAGGACGGCTGCACGCCCTGCAGGCGGTAGGTGCCCCGTGGGCACGGCTCGCAGCGTCCGTCGGCCCCCAGTTGCTGTCCGGAGCTGCACTCGTCGCGGCACTCCTTGCGCGAGGTGGCCTCCGTGGAGCGCGTCGTCTGTCCCAGGCCGCACAGGTCGCAGCCGAAGGAGCCCTCGTTGGGCTGGTAGAACCCGTGGCCGCAGGAGCGGCACAGGCCCGTCTCCGCGTCGAAGTACTTGCCGGCCGGGCACCGCTCCTTGCAGTCCGCCGCCGAGCGGGCTCCTGGTCCTGCGGTGACTCCCGGGCGACCGGCGATGACCGGGCACTTGCTGCACTGCAGCTGGCCGGCCTCCGACTGGTAGGTGCCGCGGGCGCAGGCCAGGCACGTCTTGTTGGCACTGTCGTAGAAGGTGCCGATGGCACAGGGCACGCAGTCGGGTATCATGACCACCTGGCCCACGGGACAGGCGTACTCCGAGCCCAGTTCTAGGGAGGCCGGATCTGGGACCGTGTTGGGCAGGATCTCCTGCACCGCGAACTGGTCGTCCTCGAGGATCAGCTTCTCCAGCAGTTGCTTCACACTGGACCGTTCACCCGTCGACGTGTGCACCACAGGATCGCTGCAGAGGGACGAAAGCGAGATGGGTCAGTTGGGGCTACATGAACATGTCTTAGTCGTATGATTAGGGAACATATGTTATTGTCCAGATGTGGTGTTTTTGGGTGGGTGTCACATAAAGACCGCAACGATTCCCTCTTCTCTATAACACATTCAATTCATGAGCACTATGTTGCGATTAAATACAAATATAATCAGATTATTTCAAGCTCAAGTTCTTTAAGAAACAGTGATCCCAAAGAATACATAATATCATACATAGCTTTTGTGACACCCAACACTTTTTCGGACGTTGAGAAGTAAGCATTAAATTTGGGTTAGCACGCATAGACCAGTAACATGAGGTTAGATGAGGGTTCAATTGGGTTAAATTGCTTTGTTTGACTGGATGGATGTTGGATTAGACTGAGACGGTTGCTGGTAGTTGGTAGTTGGTAGTACTGGGTGCAGATTTGATGCTGGGAAGAACGGGTGCAGTTGGCCGGATTTGGTAATGCGTAAAGTGAACCAACAAAGGAGTGCTAGACATACTTTACAGCCGGGAAGGCTATCTCCAGGGTGTATGTATCGCCGCCAGTTTGTTGGCGTCCCTGGCGACCCGTCAAAGTCAGATCGTCATCCTCCTCGCTGCAAATTGGGTTAACGAACACACAAAACACATATAACATATACACAGTGTACACGGATGGTCGCGATCAGGACATGCGGATGTGGGTTCTTGGGCGTGCAACTACTTACTTGACCACTGGCAGTTCGGCCTCCATCACGTAGACTCCGCCGTCCTTGGCCTGCCGACGCACTCGGTTGTTCTGGGCAGCTCGGTAGTGGTCGCACTTCACGTCGATCTGGATGTCCTTGCATTCCCTGAAAGGCGAACCAAATTGTGGGTCAAAATTGTGGGAACAGCAGGAGAGGTCCAGCCAAAACTAACCTGGTTCCTTCGATGGCATACGAGCAGAAGTTCCAGTCCCTGTTCAGACCATTCACCGAGTTGGTCACCTTCTGGCGGAGCACCGCCTGACCAGCCTTGTTGCACAGCACGTCCGAGGGGAAGAGCATCTTGATGCGGAACACCCGCTGGGCGGGCTTCGAGGGGGAGCAGGAGGGGTAGACCAGGGGCATCGAGGGTTCCCGAGTGGGTCGCCAGAAGCCCTCGGCTCCGCAGGTGTAGAACTCAGGCACCTCCTCCGAGAAGCGGAGGCCCGCATTGCAGGCGATCTCGCAGACCTTGAACTGCCCGCCTGCGCCCCAATCCTTGCACACCTGCGATCCTCCAACGGGATCAGCCAATGCCGGACAGAAGTCAGCTGCAAAGTGGTTAATGAATACAAGTTAATACCATAATATAACAACATAATATCCTTTTGAGTCATGAAGCCTAATAAAGCTGATATAAATCTTAAAAAAAAGAAAAACAATATTTAAACACAACGAAGTCGGCCGAAAGCCATACTAACTTTAGTTAATATCTTTAAGCTTACAGTTTGTTAATAAATACATAAATAAATATCCTTTTGTAATTTGTTTGACATCAAATCTACATTAATATCAGTTTGGAATTATAAAATCAATTCTAAATCAATATGACTTTGATATTACAATGTTATGTGCATTTGATATCCTAATACTTGTGATATTTTTAGAAGATTTAAAAGATACCACCCACATGACCTCCCATCAAGATATATTTAATATTTAAAAGCTTTAAGAAATGTAAATTAAGAAATTAAATATACATCTCGTATAATTTGTTATACCTATAATATAGGTATATATATTTAAAACCTGCTCAAGCTGCCACATAGCAGTATACCTGTTAGATTTTGCAATAAATATACACTTTTTTACTTTAATAAAAAAAAATAATAATAATACTTGTGTTATTTTCATATTCTACCACTTAATTGAAATTCCCCAATACTCACTCAGCAGGGAAACCTTGAAGCTGCAGGAGGCCGTGTTGCCGGATGCGTCGGAGGCGATGTAGGTGATGTCGTAGGTGCCCCACAGCAAGGTGGTTCCAGAGCGGTGTCCGTTGCGCTCGTAGATCTTGGTCACGCCGATGTTGTCGCTGAAGTGCGGCTCGTCCCAGGTGACCACCGCCGATCCGTTCTTGGCAATCACCCACAGGTCGCCGGGGCAGTGCTCCACCACAGGCGGCTCCTTGTCGACCACCAGCTGCTGGCAATTGGCGCCCGTGTAGCCCACGGGGCACTTGCGCTGGCCGCAGAGCGACGGCACGTTGCGCTCCACTCCGCCGGAGGTGACCTCGTAGCCGGCCCAGTTGAGGATGAGGCCGGGGTAAAGGACCGGCTCGGAGCGGCAGTCGCGCACCTGCTTCTGGATCTCCGAGGTGATGTCGAGGGCGCGGGCCCAGACCTGCGCCTTGGTGACGGTGCCCTGGAACCCGGCGTCCGAGTAGGCCAGTTCGTGGCTCAGTCCGTAGGGCTGCGGGCGACCCAGCACTGCCCAGAGATGCGAGGGCAGCGAGCCACCCGCTCCGTACTCCATCTTGCTGGCAATCAGGCCCTCCGTGATCAGCTGCAGTTGTCCGGCGATGCCGTCCCACACCACGGCCACGTGGTGCCACTGGCCGTCGTTCACGGAGGTGTACTCGCCGAAGCTGAGGAAGGCGTCGGACTGGTCCTCGAAGAGGGAGACCTGGACGCCACTGGAGTGCGCCTGGAGCAGGATGCGCCGGCGCTGGGTCATGCGGGCCGACTCCACGCCGTACAGGGTGAAGAAGATGCCGGGGTCGTCCTTCTGGGCGAACTGCACCCACATGGCCACCGTCAGGCTGTTGGCCTCGCCCGTGGGGAAGGGCACCACCTGGGCGGCGGTGGAGCGCGAGGGGTCGCTGAAGTAGAGGTCGTAGTCCACCTGGATGGCCTTGCGGCAGTCGTCGCCGGTCATGTTGAACGGGCACTGGCAGTAGAAGCCGTTGGTCAGGTCCACGCAGGTGGCGCCCGGCGGGCAGGAGTTGTCCTTGCAGTCCACGATGTCCTGCTCGCAGTTGTGTCCGGTGTACCCGGGCGGGCACTGGCAGCTGTAGCCGGCCCCGTTGTCCACGCAGGTGGCTCCGTTCTGGCAGACCTGCTCCTCGCAGGCATCATACTCGTACTGGCAGCCGATGCCCGAGTAGTCCGCTGGGCAGCTGCAGTTCAGGCCGGAGCCGAAGTCCTGGCACTTGCCGCCGTGCATGCACGGATCTCCGATGCAGCGCTCCGGGGCGGTCTCGCAGTTCTTGCCATCGGTGCCGCTGGGGCACACGCAGAAGTAGTCCTGGAACAGGTCGATGCAGCTGGCGTCGTTCTGGCACGGCGCCTGGGCCCCGCAGGTGGTCACCTGCTGCTCGCAGCGCATGCCGCTCCAGCCCGGCTGGCAGCCGCACTCGAAGCCGCCGACGCGGTCCCGGCAGAGGCCGTTGTTCAGGCAGGGCTGCGCCTCGCAGTCGTCGATGTCGGTGGCGCAGAGCGGTCCCTTGAAGCCGTCGCGGCAGACGCACTCGAACCGGTTGTCCAGGTCCAGGCAGCGCTCCGTGCCCACCGGGTTGCAGGGGTCGCTCAGGCACTCGTCGATCTCCGCCTCGCAGGAGAGGCCCACGTAGCCGGGGCGGCACTTGCAGGTGAACCCGTCCAGCTGGTCCACGCAGGTGGCTCCGTGCTGGCAGGGATTGGAGGCGCAGTCGTCGATGGTGTGCTGGCAGTTCTTGCCGGTGTAGCCGGGCTCGCAGTTGCAGCTGAAGCCGTCGACCAGGTCCACGCAGGTGCCCTCGTTGGCGCAGGGCCGCTGCGCGCAGTCGTCAATGTTGCTGTCGCAGGCCGATCCCGTCCAGCCCGGGTGGCAGACGCACTCGTGGTCGAACAGGCGGTCCACGCAGGTGCCGTGCTTGCAGGGCTCGGACAGGCAGAGGTCGATCTTCTGCTCGCACCGCTTGCCGGTGAAGCCCGGCGGACAGGCGCACTGGAAGTCGTTGACCAGGTCGGTGCAGTTGGCGCCCAGCAGGCAGGGGCTCTCCGCGCAGTCGTCGATGTTCAGCTCGCAGTGGATGCCCTCCCACCCGGGCACACACTCGCACTTGTAGCGGCCCTGCTCCAGGGCGTGACAGCTGGCCCCGTTGCCACAGGGATTGCCGTTCGCGGTGCAGGGGTCGATGGTCACGTCGCACTGGTCGCCGGTGTAGCCGCTGCGGCACAGACAGGTCACGTTCTTGAAGCCCGGCTCGTTCTTGCACATGGCTCGGGCGGGACAGGTGTCGTTGCCGCAGTCGCTGGCCTCCTCCTGGCAGTTGATGCCCGAGTAGCCGGCGGGGCACTCGCAGCGGTAGCCCTGGGGCAGGTCCTTGCACTGGCCCCCGTTGTAGCAGGGCTGCGAGGCGCACTCGTCGATGTCCTGCTCGCAGCGGCGACCCGAGAACCCGGCCGGGCAGAAGCACTGGATGTCGTGGCCCATCGGGACGCACAGTCCTCCGTGCTGGCAGGCCCCCTCGCCGCACACCACCGGCTTGCACTGCTCGCGTCCCTTGGAGGCGGCCGCGTCGGTCCTCAGGTTGCCGGGACACTCGTTGCAGCTCTGTGCGCCGGCGGCTCCCTGGTAGTGATGCAGAGGGCAGGGCGAGCAGGGCGCCAGTCCAGTGGCGGAGTACGTTCCGGGGGCGCACTTGGCGCGACACAGGTCCTTGTTCGAGGCCGCGGGCTGGTAGGTGAAGGTCTGCGCCGCGCAGGCCTGGCAGTCCTTGAACCCGCCCGTCGGTGGTTCGGCGGTGAAGGAGTTGCGCGGGCACTCCAGACAGGGCACCAGTCCAGTGGGCGAGTAGGTTCCTGGAAATGGGATTAATCATTATTAAAGGACTATCATTATTTCACTTATTTTAGGAGTGAAATTCAGGGAAATCGCGACAAACAGAGTCTTCGGGAATAAATTTTATGAGGCTGTCCTTCCTGTCAAATAACCTTTAATATTTCTAGTAACTACAATAAATGACGATGTAGCCCATTGGGAAGAAATGTTAAAGTGGAGAGTATTTAAATTGCTTCTACCAACGAACTCTTATTAATATATTAATAACAACTGTTATTAGAAATAATGTTTTCCAACCATTTTCCTAATGTTTTGAAATATTTGGTCAAAACTCTTTAATCTATTTGAATCTACATATTCAACTATGTATCGTAAATCGAAGCAATGTATTTTCTGTTTAGGCTTTGTAAAATTAAATATTAAATAAATAGAATTTGAAATACCATTTGCCATGAATGGGAGGATAAAATGATATTATAAGATGGGATTACCGTCCATCGTTTTACTTTTGTATTTTCAGAATAGTGCAATTGTGTCTTTCGAGACTTTATTTCAAAACTTAATTTGTTCTCAAAACCACGTTTTGAAAAGATTGGTACCTCAAAAAAGTTAGTAAAGCTTTTGTTTATTTTAGAGGGTTTCATCGTCTAGTTTTTTAATTTAATTTTTTTTTGCTACCTTCTTTTTGAGTTACTTGGGTACCTATCTTTGGATTGTAAGAAGTATGGAGGCAAATATTGTTCTAAGAAAACTAGATAAGCCTATTGGATCTAAACATTAAAGTACATTAGTAAGTAAATTACTATTATCACTTCACGCTCTTGATATAGATTTTATAAATATTAGTTTCTAGCTATACCTTTCTGCAGTTTTTGAGTTTAGACTTTGGTTTTTAAAAACGATACATACCGTAGCCGCACACGGGAATGCAGTCCGCCTGGGACTTGGTTCCCTCCTCCTTGGTGTAGGTTCCGGCGGGGCAGCGCAGACAGGTGCCCTGGCGGTCGCGGTTCTGGTAGTAGCCCCTCGGGCAGTAGGTGCAGCTGTTCTGGCCCTCGGAGACGTAGGTTCCCGCGGGACAGTGCAGGCAGCGCGGCACATCACTGGTGTCCATGTTCAGCACCTCGCCCACGTTGCAGTTGAAGCCCCGCGAGATCTGTGATTTGAGGGCCCGCAGGGGAGGACACTGGTTGCCGATGTTGGCAATGTTCAGCAGGTCGTCGATCACGGCACTGGCGTAGGGAACACTCAGGTCGAAGATCAGGTTCAGCGTGGAGCCGCACAGGTCGTAGAGCTGCGGCTGGCGCACCGCCGGCAGGATGGACAGGATGAAGTCCATCTTGACCACATTCTCCTCCAGCAACATGGGCACCGACTTCACAAAGGTCACGTTCATGTTCACATTCACCGCGGAGCAGCGCTGCGAGAGCAGCTGGTTCAGCCCAGTGTAGTGCTGGGAGAGCACGTCCTGGTACTGTCCCAGGCAGGATTGGGCCACGGCTCCGTTGGCACGGTAGGTGATGGAGGCGGTCACGTGGTAGGCGGCCTGCTCCGTGTTCTCGGAGACGCAGTCGGGCACCACGGAGGTGGGGCGCCACAGACGCGACGTCTCGCAGGAGAAGGTCTTCAGGGGCTCGCCGTCGGTGAAGCGGAATCCTGGCTTGCACGTGGCGATGCACTCGATCCCGCGATCGCCGGGCAGGCAGTTGATGGCCCCGTTGGCCGGCGGCTGGAGCTCCCAGTCCACGCAGGGTGACGCCTTCACGGACACCTGGAAGTGGCAGGCCGCACGGTTGTTGTACTTGTCCGTGGCCGTGACGGTCACATTCTCAAAGTTTCCGATCCTGATCGTGGCACTTTCCGGGCTGAACTGCAGCTTCACCTCCCCCGTGTCGTCGGAGGTCTTGATCCTCTTCCGCGTGTCATTGAAGTTGACCGTGTAGCTCTCCTGGCGATCCACCAGCTCGATCACGTAGCTCTGGGGGCACTGCAGCAGGGGCGGTGTGACGTCCGGCACCGTGATGTTGATCTCGCAAATGGCCACATTGCCGTCGTAGTCGAAGGCCACGTACTTCACCACGGTGTCCTTGAAAATGAAGCTGGGCGTGCGGAAGTTCTGCGGCTTGATCTCCAGACGGGCGATCGACCCGGAGTTGTCCACGGCAGTGGGCTCGGTGAAGTTCACCGGCAGCACACCGCCGTTCTCATCGCGGCGCACCACGATGGGCTGTTGGGGGCAGTTCTGGAAGATCGGCGGCTCGTTGTCCACGCAGGGGGAGTAGCCGTAGTCGTAGCCCAGCAGGGGCTCCTGCTTCGGCTCCTCGCAGCCCATCAGCTCGAACTTCAGACAGGCGTTGTCCATGTAGCTGACGATGCCCAGGATCACGAAGCGCGCCTGCACGAACTTGGGCAGCGTGATCATGGCCAGCTCGCCGTAGTTGCCCGGGTCGCGCATGGTCAGGTTGAAGTTGGGGAAGTACACCACGTAGTTCTCGCTCTCGGCCTGCTTGTAGAAGAACCGAATCTCCGTGGGCCTGCCCACGATGTCGTTGGTCACCACTCCCTTGACCAGGATGGCCTTGACCCGGTAGATCTGACCGAGGTCCACGCTCACGTAGGTGAAGGCCTCCTGCTTGCCGCACCACCCGGTGGCCGAGTTCAGTCGGATGTTCTTCGCCTCATAGTTGGGCCGCTCCGAGGTGGCGTTGATGGCCGTGTCCGGGATCCGGCCAGAGCCCAGGCCCAGGGGCTTGATGACCTTGCACTCCGGCTCGCGTATGCAGGTGATGGGCCTTGGGTTGATCAGGATATAGCCGGGTCGGTTGCAGCCGAAGTACACCTCCGAGCTCTGCTCGTAGCTGCGGGCAATCTGGCGGCCGTCGGCCGGTCGTCCCGGATCCTCGCACACTGGTCCCTCGCAGCGGAGATCGCCGAAGTCCCAGATGCCCTCGGCTCCACAACGGACCACATTGTCGTGGCGACCCGTCTGGCCGGCCAACTTGAACGTGTTCTGGCAGCCGAAGAAGAAGCTGCTCTGGTAGCGCGTGTCCACGAACTGGCCGTACTCCGCTCCGGGCGTGGGCATGGGTGCGTAGCAGTCCACCCTGGGACAGGAGGGCTGCATCCCCGACAGCCAGTAGTCGGGCAGACCCGGCTTCGGGTCGTACACGCACTGCCGGAAGCCGGAGGAGGCGGTGGCCCTCAGTTGGCGACCCGCCGATCCGCACGTGATGGTCACATTGTCGCGGAAAGGCACAAGGACGGACTCGGGATCGGGACGGGCCACAGTCAGACCCTCCAACTTGTCATCTGGCAGAGAAACGCACTTGGCATCTGGTAAAGAAAATTCAGAATTATAAATAGGAATTGGGTATTTCAACTATTCAAGCTACAAGTTTCCCCTATACTTACAACCTGCCTACAAGCTGCCACATAGGTAGCAGTATACCTGTTTCGTTTTGCAATAAATATACAGTTTTTTACTTTTATAAAAAAAAAAGCTACAAGCCATGAAGGACCAGCTTATTTAATAACGCCTTGTATATTGAATTTAAAAATTTATAAAATGAAATTAGGATAGTAATTGAGTGCGTAACTAAGAGGTAACTCCGACTGGTAAATAAAGTTTTTTTTCAGAAGAAGAGAAGTATCTTCTGATTTGAGTAGATTTATTAAAATGAAAACCCCTAAATTACATTTAAAAGCGTCGCCTATTTTCCTTAACAATAAATCTATCTGCTCATTAACATTTTCTGGTATATAACCAACAATTAAACAGAATGAGAACATAGTTCTCCTAAAATCTACGTGTTCAGATTCCAAATGTTATACCACGTCATTTGCTAAGCAGCAAAGCCTAGTGCAATTATGGTTTGGCTTTCAAATATGTCTTTCCAAAAGAAGAGTGGCCCCCAAGAGGGTATTTATCAAAAATCGATATGGAGACGACTACTTACAATTGCACTCCGGTACGCTGGCGTTCCACTGACCACTGGACAGACACAGTGCCGCCGAGCTGCCGCTCATGATGTAGCCGAAGTGGCACTGGAAACGCACCACATCGCCGAAGTGGTAGTCGTTGCGGTCGCTCAGCAGTTGTCCGTTCTCGGGAGCCTCCAGCTCGGGGCACATGAGGGGCACGCAGGTCTTGTTGCGCTGGTAGGTGTCCCCATCGCGTTCGCCCGACTCGGAGCGCTCGATGTGGAAGCCGGCGGTGCCGTTGGAGCTGTACAGCTGGTAGCCGGTGTTGCAGCCACAGGCGAATCCTCCCGGGGAGTTGATGCACTTCTGGTCGCAGCCGCCGTTGTTCCTGCTGCACTCGTTGATGTCCACGCAGTCCAGGCGCGTGCAGCCCATCAGCTCCATGCGCAGACAGGGGGCTCCCACGTAGTCCTGGATGCGGAAGCGAATGTATCGGGCCTCGATGGGCAGGGGCAGGTTCAGGATGGAGAGCGTGGGCTCCAGGATGCGGAACTCCACGGCAGTGCCGTCGGGATTGGCGTAGTCCTTGAACACATCCGTCAGATCGTTGGTGTACTGCAGACGCACCGCCGAGCTGAAGGCCACATTGCCGTCCGGTCGCTGCACGGACATGGTGCGGAAGCCGCGAAGGATGGTGGGTGCCTTGAGGTCCACCAGCACCCAGTTGGCCCCCGGCTCCGAGGAGCCGCCGCACCAGCCGTTCGTGTTCAGTCGTAGTTGCGTCTTACTGTAGCCCGGCTCACTGGCCGAGGTGCTGATGCTGTCGTCGGGGATGCCGCCGTTGCCCAGGCCCAGGTCGCCCACGGGCCTGCACTCGGTGGTGGCCGTAAATCCGGACCGGCACTGGCAGTGGAACGAGCCGTTCGTGTTCTGGCACTCGGTGGTGGTCAGGTCGCACTGCGAGGAGCTGCACTCGTTGATGTCCTCGCAGGTCGGGGGCTGCTCGAACCTCTGGGCCTCGCTGCAGCGCATAATGTTGCTGCCGATCAGCTTGTAGCCCTTGAAGCACTGCACTCTGGCTTCGTCGCCGAATAAGTAGGTTCGGCTCGAGTCGACCACGAAGCCGTTGGCGATCTCCGGGAACTCGAAGCAGCGCTTGCGCGTGCACTTGGGCACGTCGCCGCTCCAGGTGCCATTGGACATGCAGGTCAGCACCGGATGGCCGTTGCGCTCGTAACCCGGCTCGCACTCGTACTGGACGATGGTGCCGTAGCTGCGACCGCCTCCGTTGAGCAGCGTCACATTGGCGTGGGTCACTTCCTGGAGGGCGGCGCACTGGGAGGCCAGGCAGTGGGGCTGCCTTTCCCAGCGACCGTCCGGCAGACACGAGATCTTCTCGATGGGAGCGCTCGAGGCGAAGGCGAAGCCGGCATAACACTGGTACATGGCGATGCCGCGGTAGGTCACGTTCGAGGAGCCGATGGAGAAACCGTTGTCGATTTGTGGCACAGGACCGCAGTAGACCTCTGTGGGGGGTTAAAACCCGTATTAGCAAGACACTTGGACTCGGATTGAAGATTCAAACTTACCCTGACACTTGGGTATGTAGGAGACACTCCAGTTGCCACCGCGCAGACATTCAGTAACCAGGCGCGTCTTGCCGGTGGCAAACTCCTGTCCAATGGGACATGTAAAGCTGACCAGCGTACCGAAAGCGGTGTCGCGACTGGAGGCCAAGGCTCCAATTCCGGGCTGCAGCTCCGGGCAGTCGGCCGAGAACGTGGCCGACCATCTGAATACAAATTTTGAAATTTATTGTATTTTCCCTAATCGATCATATTGATCGAATCAATATGGGGTGCCAAAGAAATCGGTTGGATTTCAAACGAACCGCCCCGAAAACCGTGGCAGAATTCCTTGACATCCCATATTGATTTGATATTTTTGAATATTAAATGTAAATACAGTAGAACCCCGTTTATATGAGGTAATGGAGAGAAGGGGTGCCGCGGATAATCGAAAATTCGGATAGCACGGAAGACATAGAGGATTAAAAAAAATTCAATTATTTTCTACGTATTTTAAAAGGTGAAATCAAGTTTAGTCTACCTCTACGACTACAAAATTGGAAATGTATTGACATAGTCTAATATTTGGTAGACAAAACATGGCTGAATATAAAGGGCAGGTCCTTGATAAGGTTTACGAAAATCTGTAATTGACCCATTCAGTAACCCGGATAACGCGGAGGGCCGGATAATCGAAGGCCGGATAACCGGGGTTCTAGTGTAGTTGGTAATTCAATTGGTTGTGGCACATACCCAGCAGCATTATGCAGCGCATCCGAGGTGAACTTGATGAGCATCTCGCCGGAGGAGGCGGTCAGGGTTAGTTTGGGCGCGGCTGGACCCGTGAAGCCGTTACCCGAGTGCAGGCGGAGACCGGAGGTGGAGGATCCGTCGAAGACCTGCACATGGTCGCTCTTGTGGACGGTGAACTTGTCGAACTTGAGGGAGAGCGGAGCACGGGCGTTGTTGCGGATGGTGAAGTAGCACTCCTGGTTCTTTGGGTAGTCGGCCAGTCCAAAGGCTGGTGAGGTGACCGTCCCATTTCTGGCAGTGATCGTCGCCTTGCAGCCCTGGATGTAGCGCAGACTAAAGCCCTTGCCGGCCTCACCCAAGCTGGACTTGAAGTACAGGTACAGGGCGTTGCCGGTGGAGATGATGACCCTATTGTTCTGGGCCGTCTTTCCGGTCAGCTTGGCAATGGTGCGACTCATGGGCGAGTCCCCGTCGCGGATCATCAGATAGTCGCGTCCCTCGGAGACATCCAGGTCGTCCACTTCGATGGAGATGATGCGACCCGGCTGGGCCTTAATCACATAGAGGCACTCCAGGCCGCCGGGATACTGCTTCGGGTAGTTGGGGCTGGTCAGGATCTGGCGCTGCAGCGTGGCCTTCAGAGTGCCACCGCAGTTCTTGGCCTCCGTCTTCCAGGTGGCCCTGAAGCCCTTGCGCTCCACACTGCCGTCCGTGGTGAACTTGACGATCATGAAGTTGGAGGCGGACACGAAGGGCTGCGTGGTCAGGTCCTGCTTGCCACTGAGCGTGGCCAGCGACACGGACTTGTCCTCGGTGCGGCCGCCCACCAGCACCTGCACGGTGTCGAAGGTCTTCTCCGTCTCGAAGTCCTGGAACTGCAGGATGATGTTGCTGCCCAGCGGTCCCTCCAGCGTCCACTTGCACTTGCTCAGCGCCCCGTACTTGTGCGGGTAGTTGGGCGTCTCGATCACGTCGCCGCCGGACTGCATGTGGTAGTGGCACTGGGCCGGACAGTCCAGCTCGTCGGTGCCGTCGCCGCAGTCGTCGCTGCCGTCGCACTTGAAGGCCTGGTTGATGCACTTGCCGTTGGCGCAGTGGAGGGCTCCTTGGGGGCAGGCCTGGGCCCGGCACATGAACGGGAGCAGGGACTCGCAGGTGCCCAGGTCCCAGCTCTGCGACTTGCCTGCGAATCCTGCCGCCACACACTCCCCGGACTCGGCGTTCGGCTGATGCAGCGACCAGTAGCCGGAGTACTGCGAGATCAGCGCTCCGGAGGCGGACTCCAGGGTGTTGGTGCGCAGGTCGTCCAGGGAGGCCAGGCCCAGCCAGTACTTGTCCGAGGCCCTCTGGTTGGGATCGCTGGCCCGGGCAATGGCCAGGGTCTCGTTGTTCTCCGCAAAGCTGTCGATGGCCACCAGTTCGGCGCCATATCTGCAGGGAGAACACAAGATAGGAATGTAGTTTGTTTATACCCTTATTACAAGGCAACTTTTAAACTAATTTAACAATTTCTCAATCGAATTCTTTGTAAATATACCGAATGCAGTAGCTGAAAAACAATCGAGATCACTGTAAATCTGATATTACTATGATTAGTATAATATCAACTATAAAATCTATCCCTTAACCTAATAAATAAAATTGAGAAAACATGTATATTTGTTTTTGCAAAAGAAAAGACATTTCAACACAATAGCTTGAAATTAAGTCCCAACAATTAATTTAGAAAATGCCTTATCTATATATTAAATAAATTACACCTGCAATTGAAATTCGCTGATAAGAATATAAAGACGATAATTATATTACTTTTCCCGAAGTGAAGTCGGGCGAGAGGATGTGGACGATTAGTATGCAGCTCTTGGCCAAGCTTCCGCTGACCGGCGTAATGCAACTCCAATTATGCAGCTGCGCTTTACTTTCTATTTTCTGTTTCTATCTCAATTATGTGCTGCTGCATGTGGATCGGGGGAAATCAGGCTCACTACACGTAAAACTTTCATTTCCAATCGCTAAACTCACTTTGATTGCGATCTCATAACTTGGAGTTCTGCGCGCCCAGCAAGAAAAACAAGTTTCCCCCAAAAGCCATTGCGACATTACGCATTCGCCGCGTGGGACGTGGCTGCCTTTGGCAATTGGCTGCAGCCGGGGCATGCCAAAAAATGAATCGAAAAGCATACCACATTATGTATGTGAGACACTCCCTTGCGAGTGCCACCCCCACTCCTGCCAACAACAATGCTGCGTGCCACACCAGAGTGAAAACTTCAGAGGCGGCTTCGTAAGTCACTTTTTTTGGCTTGGCATTTTAGGTGTACACATTTGGTTTGGGCGTGTATTATGGTAAGCAAAAATTGTTCGATCTGTTTGGGTTTGCACTTAGCGGGTTTCTTACCAAAGGAATGTCTATACTAGCAAAACGAATAAGAAATCTACTCAGACACACAGACACCTCCAATGTCACATAAATGTTTCAGTATAATATGTAGCTTAATCAAAATGTAAAAAAAAAGTATGTATTTTACATAGTTCTAGGATGCTAATAATTCTTATCCCATTTTTCCAGAATCGTTGCTTCGGATTAAGCCGAACTGAAAGTCATATAAAAAATGTTATTAGAAAACTACCTAGTCCAACCGTTTTATCTCTTCCTTCTTATTTATATATTTCTCAAGTCAACGTGTGTATGCTCCAATTCATTTTCCCCCGTTGTTTTTTCTGGTAAACATTCCGTTAATATTGAGTGTTAGCGCCTTGTCAGAGCCTTTCCTTCATTCTACCCAATTTCGCATGCTGCGCACGCCAAAAAGAAATTTCACCGAAACAAGAGTTAAATAAAACGCAGAAATATTTCACAGTTGAATGAATGTTGGACTGGGTAACGACACCTGTCAACGCAATCGCCCGGTGTTGATATAAACAATGCCCACACTCCTTTGTGTTACCCACACTGTATATATTTGGCGAATCGTCCATTTGAAAAACATAGATGGCAATTGTCGGCTAACGTTTGTTGAACTCCAGCCACGTTAGCGGCATTCAAATGAGCACTGGACTTGGCCGGGGCGAGGTCTTCGGCATGTAAATCGCATTAGGAGCACTGGTCGCCGAGTTGTCTTAGAGTCACGATGTGCCGGGCATACTTAAGTGCCATTTAACGCCGTTGACGGCGGGGAGAAATTGCGTAGGGCATTGACATTCAGCGGCAGCCAATAATTTTATTAATATTTTCAGTTTGCGTTGAACAAAAACTACACACGCAGTGTAGCAGGGCAAAAAGCGAATCGATGAAACCCAGAGAAACTTTCACCCCACATGCCCTGTGGGTCAGCTCACGATTCTCACGTTCATTAAGATCCCAAGCTCTATTATCAAAACACTCTCAGTTTTCGGGCGGATCGCGGGGACTTTGGTCAGGTGATCACTGTGCCGGTATTTGGGTCACTGGTGCAGGCTAACACCCAAAAACAACATGCCTGGAACAGCTTGGCCGGAAGCATTCGGCGACTTTCTTTTCCTCGAAAGAGGAGGGCGAAAAAAAGAGTTGGCGAAGAATCGAAAATTATGAATCACCCGGGCATCGATCGGGGTATTCATGGCCCTGCCCAGTCGGGCTGAAAAGCGATTGCAAACTTGGTCAGCAAAGCCGTCGACTTGTTTCGCTTCTTTGGCGTTTTTGGCTCTGGCCGCTGCCCACTTTGGCATTGACAGTTAGCTGTCTGCAACGGAAATGCAATGCGCTGCCGTAACGGCAGTTGCTGGAACCAGTACATATACATCGTTCTGACCAACCAGTCAATCCATCAATCCATCCACCCAGCCATCCACCTTTCCATCAAGAACAACAGGTAGCGCATTTGTTCAAGCATAGAACTCGAGTGCCTTTGCCACCTTCTCCGATTCGATCGATGACAAGGAGCGGAACAAGTTGGCGGCACTTCCCCCGCTCACTTCCTCACAAAATACTTATCATCTCGTTCGGCCAGGGAAATTATCATATGGTTATGGTTGTGATTCCGCTCACCTTCGACACAGCTCGGCGCTTTTATCCCACGAGTGCTTTATATTGAAGTATTTGTAACAATTTAAGCCGCGCAGTTCCCAGCCTGAAAAATTAAGAAAAAGAATTATCATATTAGACAAGGTTGAATATGAGTATTTTGGATTATATTCCACAGTTTGTTCTTAAACGTACTGAAGAAAATTAGATAAGTTAGCTGCAATACATTAATAGTGTTTACCTATTTAATAAGAATCAGCTCCATACAACAAGGACTTTAGAATACCTCATCCGATTGCATTTTTAAAACCATTTTCATTTAGTTTTTGCTTTTACAATAGTTATTTGTCTGGTTTTAATTATATTTTCAGGGGAAACTTTATTTAAATACTAATGAAAAACAATTATTTTACATTGGAAATATTAGCTCTATGTTTATGACTCGTCGCGACGTAAACCGCTTAAAACCCCCCAGTTATTTCATGGAAATTAAACTGTACGCACTTAATCATTAAATATCACCACCAACTGGGAAAGAATGTAAGCTGTGTGGTGACCCCAATCAGCATCTTAACTCGTTTTGCATAACTTATGTCCAGCTTGTGATAACTTTCTGCGTGTTCCGGCGATGGGAACAAGAATTCAACAGCTAATCAGCAGATAATTAAGCTGTTGGGCCAACCGAGATTAGATCTAAGATGCGGCCAGCACTCAGCGAATAAGCTGTGACGCTTTCGTTTTCCTCCGCATACTAACAGTTTTCCTGGTAAAATGGGGAAAGTGGCGCGCAAAACTTGGACTCAACTCGGCCCGCCTCAAAGTCAGCTTGATTGACAGCTTTCATTTAAAATCAAATCGTCTAAAATATGCTGCGAATCGCACTTGCACACACTCCTTGTCTGCAATAAGCGAAACCAAAACAAAAAGCAAAGAGTATTTAAACAATTTGTTTTTTTTTTATGTGCAGAAGCACGCGCTGCCTTTTAAAAGTCACAAACAAAAGTAGTAATAGTAGCGAATGTTGTCTTTGGTGTTTTCTGTTTTCTGTGGGTCGGTAAGTTGTTACAGATTTTCCAGACTGACTTCGGGTGACCAGGGTACTTTCTCGATTTCCTTGTCCAATTGATCTTCAAATTCGATTGGATGGAAACAGGTATTGCTTGGATGGAAAACGGCATCCTGTCGATAAGGCTTAGTCAATTAAAAATTGCATTTCTGAGCCATCATTTGCTAAAGAAATCAAGGTGACACTTTCAAGGCTTTTCTAGTTTAAATACTTGTTGGAAACCAGTGTAAACATGCAAATTACCTGTGAAAACTGTTTAATTCATCAAGATAGAAAGTTTAAGATTAGCTAATGTGTGACTTTAATGAGTTCTCCTTGAACGGGTGAACAACTTGTGTTGACACATGTATATTTTTAAACAAAACTTCACTTTTATATTCGTCTATCGTTTAAGTCAATTTAAATAAAGTAATTTCAATGCTACATTCGAACATGTTAATGTGAAATTGGTATAGTTTTCCACTTAATTTTCTTGCAAATTAGTAAGTACCTTCTCGAAGTTTTGTTTTCCCGTAAAATCGGAATTTCACAGTTAAATCTTCGAACAGTCAGCTAGCCACAAGCCTTGTGGTCATTACCCATTTTACCATCAACTCCACCCAATTTACCAACTGTACAATAGTTAGCGTTTCTGTGGCTTTTTTGTTTGGCTAACTGGTTGAGAGAACCGCTATATGCCGCACAATTTGTTCGAATTTATTTATTTGTTGCCCATTTACCGCAGCGCAATTCTGTATTAGCCATGCTTCAATGCCAAAATAACCACAGCTAACTGTAAGGTGTTCCACTTAAAAAAAAGGGGGGGACGGAAGAAATGGAGTGGGCGAGAGTCTTGGACATTTCTGGATCTCTTTTGGCGATCTTTCTGGGTTACCTAACATGCTTCAATGGAAATCTAAATCAGCACAGAAGCCCCATGTAATTGTTTTTAATGGCTGCAGATAAATTCTTGCCCACTTCTTTCCCCCCTGCAATACATTCCCCCTTTCTGGCCATGTCACCGTGACAGCCGAGAACTTCAGACTTCGATTTGCCGTGAGCAATTAAAGCCACGTAACTGCCAATTGGCTTCGGAAACTCTTTTGCTCTTCGACTTGGGTGCAGTCACAGTCACAGCCACAGAAAACTGGACAAGGTTAGCCGGTTTGAGTCTCCATCCCCGTCCCTGCCCCTCCGTTCCCCTCCCCTTGGCCTTTGCATTCGCTCACTCGTTATTTCTTTGGTTTTATTGAATTGTGTGCCAGATATTTGAAATTCTTGCCAGGAAGTTTTATTTTTCCCCCAGTTTTTTGCGCCATTACCTATGCAAATGTTTGCTGCGTGACTTGGCCAAGTGATTCGCTCTGTCTTTCTCTCATTACCTCAGTCCCTCTCTTTCTGCTGGCTGAGTATAGCTACCTACCAATGTGCATTGCCTGATCATTGTCTATATATAATTTGCTGGGCAGACCAGGGATTGCAGCACACAAAAAGATCTTGTGGAAACAATACCAAATTAATAATGTGAGAATTTCTTACGTAAAAATCATCTAGCTATACATAGGCAACTGAGATTTATGCATGCATAGATTTATGCTAGTATATAGGTGTACTTGTATCTAGGAATATATGCTTCTTGTAATTTCTTACTTTGTCAAAGCAATGAGAGGTTATTGCACTGCTCATCTTGTAATTTAAAGCCAAAGTGTAATGTAATCAAATTAGTTTTTTAGTTATAGGAAAATATCTTGGAATACAATTTTCACCTTCAAAGACAGTTTATGTGGATTGCCCCTTCTTTTTATCGCTAACGTTTATCTGAATTTTGTTATTGTTAAATTGGATTACCTATTGGCTTCTTACCTACACGTACTTATTACCCAGTTTCAGAAAAATAAATATGTCATGCCCTGTTTCAAACAAACTCTTTCGAAATCAGTGTAGTTCTTTTGCCGAAAAATAAGAAAAGTAAAAGAAAAAGTGAAACCTTGGTTGCGGCTGGTAATAAATCTTCTTCAGTGTGCTCATTTCATTAACCCCATTGCCAGCTGAGCAACATGGAATCTTAGCCATTAAATCTCTAAAGAAAAAAGGCTTTACGAAAGAACGAGATCTTAATTCCAGTGAGTGCGTAGAAAGCTCAAAAAACAGTCAAAATAAAAGCTTGAGATGTTCTTAGAAATTCTATTTCGTAATTCTTTAATTAGCTTTGATTGGATTTAACTCATTTTGGTTCACACAGAAGTCGGTGATGTGGAAAAGCGTTGACTTCCCCTAACGAAGCTCAAAAGCCACCGACAAATGAACAAATATTTGTTTAATTTGACTTGAGCGCACGCTTATTTCACGCTCTATGATTTACTAAATGCTTCAATATCATAAATAAAACGGCAAAACAAAAAGGCTTTACAAATAGGGTGGCACGCATTGTCGCTCCTTCATAAATCACTTCTGAAACTCCAATCCAAGTGTGTGCCTGCCGACCCAGAAACTTATATCAGCCTTATTTTTCTGCCAGTGTACGCTTGGATGGAGGCAAGAGAAGCCACGAAGAACACACCGACCGACAGACAGAGATGCTCATTTAATTAGCTTGAAACTCTTGGCAGCTCGCCAGCGTTTACTCAAGCGTGTCCAAAAATGTGGAGGTTTCTGTTCTAAGTCTTCACGATCGACCATCCACGTTTGTCAGTTTGCCGACTGAGTCGGTTGGTCAGTTGGATGGTCATCATCAATTCGAGGCTTTTACCGTTAGGCGTGATTCTTAAGTGGCCGCCAATGGCCGATGGCGGTACAACTTCTGTTTGGGCTGGCAGTTAGTACGGAAATGGTGAAAATTGATTATTTCTAGACCGTTGGAAATGGCCGTTTGGATGATGGAAATATCTTCATTATTTAAGATAAATAATTAATGTAATGGGAGTCTCTTATTGATTCAGCAGTGATTCAATCGCATTATCTAAGCCTTAGACTAATAACTTGTCAAATAAGGAATGAAACTATTACTTCAAAAATGTTATTTCGGACAGTGTATTTCCTAATAAAATCTAAATTTAAGCGCGACTTTAGCAAAGCTATACAACAGTTTGCCATCATATAAAAGCGCCACTTTTTAACATCTAAGAATAAATGTCGAATATTAAATTAAATAGATCGGTATTATTATAAAAACTCACAATGTTGCCTTCAGAAAAGTTATTTTTAATAAATTCCTAAATTCCCATCAATTGCCCCTGCCACTTTATTTCGTTTGGAATTTCACAAAACATCATAACACTTTGCTTGACACTGTACACATTTCTTCTGACAGCTCAACTAATAGCGCCGCAGAGTTCCATTAGTTGAGTCATAAAGTTAAAAACATATTTTCTTAGCCCATATCCAAGTAGGTATCGGTGTGTAATAACATCGATCAATATGCAACGGCTAAATGGAAGGAAAACTGCAATAACTGGCAAGAGTTTGGCCTATTTTTCGAGACCGTGTGTGTGCAACCAAATTCAACCGACTGCACCTAAAACCAGTCACCGACACACAGACACCTGCATATGGAAAACTTGAGTGCGGTAAAAATATTTAAAAAATAAAAGACTTAAGCAACGAACTTGTTTGGCTGTGCACAAGTGTTAATCAGCACAGCAAGCTGGAGCTAGTTAAAAGATGGACTTGGTGGCAGCAAGTGGCACAGCCGGCATAGGCAGGAGCTGAGGAGAAGTACACTGAGGGAAAAACTCGACCTGAGTTGAAGAACCAAGCTTTAAATGCCAGTCTGATTTTTTCAGTAAACTGTCTTGGAATTTAATGTTTTTAAAATAAGAATATATTTTCCGAACGTGTTTAATTCTTACCCGGTTTTAAGCCCAGAACATTGTCTTCAAATCTATTTAATTAATGTTAATATATATTGCATATAGTATAGCTAATTTTAATTCCATTTAAAAGAAAACGAATAAGATATTGAGATGTTGATACTGATATTGAGATATTGAGATTGATATTGATACTATACTTTTTCCTTGTGCACAGTTTTTCAGTCACTCAGTCGGGCAAGTGAAAAAAGGCAGCAACAACAGCTGCAGCGGCAGTGGAAAACCGTTAAGAAATCTCGTTTGTGTGGGGCCCAAGTCTGGAGTTGGAAATTCTTCATATGGAGTATTCTATATATGCTGTCACGGCATTCTACGAAGCGGAGAACATGGTAATAGCCGAGGAGCGAAACAAGTTTGGCTTATGTAGTAACCGTTATCGGCCACTCTGTGAGGTGTTGTAGGTGGCAATGCCAAGTGAAAGGCTTATGGGTCTTGCCCCACCACCCTATCCCTCCAGCCCGATTGATTGATTAGCTTGGTCATAACTTCCGTCATGTACATATTTTCTGCACACTCTTTAGCTCACTGAATTGTACTTCTTGTCAGAGTGCTTTTTTATCTTGTTGTTTTCGCCAGTGCTAACTCGTTTAGCAGGTTGCTTATTGGCTTTTGTGGATTTTGTCATTAGCCCAGGAATTTTTATAGCACAAGTATATGCGATATATTCATGACACAAATATGGACAAGCCTACACTGGCAAATAAATGTTAGAGCTTAATGTTTTAAAAACAAAAACACAAGTAGATATCATGATACACGTATGCCTTAAAAGGAATGAACATGAAAATAGTTTTTAATATTCATAGCTCTTAGGAATCTTATGATTCCCCATGCCAGAAAATAACTTTAGACCTTTATCTTGATTTCATTAGGGAAATTGAATTCTTTAAGGTGAATTTTTAGGCTCTAAGATAATATAGGCCTTACCACGTTAATCACTCACTTTTAATTTAAAAGAAAGGTTAAATTAATATTAATTGATTGACTTAAAAATTTTGGTTAGCTGGTGCATCTTTAACTCTTTGATTTACGTATTCTTTGAACACGTTAGCAACCGGAAATGGTTCACCATACCAAGCTTCGATCAACGGCAATCAATTACGCCATTAACAGCGCTTAGAACAGTCAAGACGAAAAATTCTTAAAGGCATAATTGCGGGCTTGAAGCACACCCAAGGTAGCAAAAAAAGTAAATCTGTTTCCAACCGCCTCGGCCACAATTATACTCGCTTTTGATTTATGCGAAAAGTTTTGGTATGGCTTTTGGGCCACACCTGCGTCCGCTGGCCACGCACGTGTTTCAAATGCAATTCGGAATTTGTATTTCATTTCGGCTTGCTGGCGGTGAAGGAATATAGGCTAACTTACCATTTGGACACGAGAACGCCTCATCGGCTCCGATTATTTGTAGTACATTTAAAAGCAGCAACGACGACAGCAAAGCGGCCAGCCAATGTGAATTGGCTGCCGTCGGTTGGTTCATTTTGACCCGATTTAATGCCCAGTTAAGCACAGTGTTGTGTTAGCAATCTGCAATCAGAAATGGGAAAGTAAATATCAGAATTGATTCGAGTCCAATAATACTCAGTAAATTAGTGGACGGCCTCGCCCAGACCACCGAAAAATAAAATAATCATAGAAACTGGTGGCCTCGTTCACACCTCACTCGCACTCTCATCCGATAAAAGGTAATGATTAGCAAATTTATGAGACGCTGAAGCTGTGACTGCGATCTGAGCACGTGTTCCTGCGGCCAATCGCGTTTACTGAATGCGGTTTTAGAAAGTTTCCTGCGCCGTAAGCCGCAGATTGCTAAAGAATTTGCATATACTTGGCTTACACCACTCCGCTCGAGGTCGTTGGTGGGCCATAAATAAAGCTAATATTCGCTTTAGTGCGTTGCTTCTATTGAGAATGGAATTTTTGGGATATGACTTTCACGGAGTGGAAATTAATTAGAATCATTGGTTTGGGAAATACCTAATGAATCAACACGAATGTTAACCAGACTTTTATCTATATAATTCAAATTTAAAAACTCTTACTCTTCAAACTGTATTAGTCACAATTTTAACATTTGTATTCAACCTCATAATAAATCATTGGATGTGGAAATACTTAATGTTGTCTATGAGTCGCCTGAATATTCGGGAGTAAGTAAACAATATTAACCAGACTTTTCTCTATATAATTTATAGCTTACTCTTCAAACTGTATTAGTCACAAATTTAACATTTGTATTCAACCTCATAATAAATTAAGTTTAATTGCCCCTTCAATGAATCTTTAAAGTACATATAATACATACATTGTTGCACTCACAAATAATTGTGAGCACAAGTCAAGAGTCGAAATCTGGGTTAGAAATTATTATATAGACCAACACAAAGTTTAAGGTTATTCCGATTTGCCTGCCATTTATCACGATTGCGTCTGAACTTGTTTGCAGTCATATGGTCTGTGTGTGTGACTTTTCATTCATACCCAAAGCTAAGTAAAGTCGGTGTGGGGAGTATGGGGTGTAAGGGGTATACGGGGTGTTTGGGGTGGGGTCTGTTCGAGGGGCGCGCCCCTCTTCACCTTCCACCGCTTTGTAAACCGAGATCGAGGCGCAAGGTTGCCGTTATTGTCAAGTAATTATAGACTAGCTAACACAAGATGTACAGTTGCATGTTGATAAAGGTTTTATTTATATTTGAGTGCTAAATGAACTGGTTTTGGGGTGGAGGCTGGATTAAGGCCAATTTATTTGGAATAATGTCTGTGATCTATGAATTATATTTAATATGGACTCTGCATAACCAAACTTGTTTGTTGCCCAAGTCTTTTGCTTGGCCAAGTATTGAGATAAATAGGAAATGCTGATTGACCAAGTGTAAATAAAGTGGTGTGTGTTTCTTAAATGCATTTGTAATACAAAACCCCAACGCAACTCGGCCAGTCCAGTCGCAGACCAAGTCTATTAACAACTTCCGCAAATTGTCTCTGGGAGAAATCTCAATCTCGGCTTAAAATTTAGTCAAACGCGAAGGCAAACGCCCTGCCACATGTTTCATTTGCAATGAGATACACCAACACAACGGCGAAACATTAGATAACTTTATTGCATGCGAATGAAAGGCTTAAGGCCCAAATAAAAATTGTGAATAAAAGCCATTGAAAAACAGCTTATAACCAGACGGGTACTGGCGGCTTTTATTGAAGGGGAAAAGACAACAAAAATAATTTGCAAGTAAGCTTAGACTGCACGCACCACTCAGCGCTAATTAAGAAAAATAGCGATGCCAACTCTTGTTTATGTTTATTTCTGTCGGCGCTCAGAAATCATAATTAAAATACTAATATAAGCAAAAGGGCAATGAATTATGCAATGCGTTGTTTTCCTTCCACCGGAGATTTCCCACCTCAGAGTTGAAACTCTGGCTGCAGCTGCGGCTGCTGCCTGAAAAGCCGCAAGCCGCATTTTTTGTGCAATTAGCTGACTATGCGGTTTGGCCCAGAAAGCAACTTGCAGCCGTCAAACAGCCAACTTGTTCGATAGCTAACTGTATGTGTGCCTGTAGCTGTTTATCAACTTGGCCAACAGCATAAACATTTGTGTGTGGGTGAGCCAAGTCAAACTAGAGTTGACTCAGGTCTGGCCTGCGCCAGCAGTAGCATTTAACGGAAAGGCGCCAAAAATGATAGAGGTTTACCCAACATTTATTTACTCTGCTGTTTAATGAAGCGCACACCAGGGAAAAGGGGCGGGGACGTGGGCGTAGGTGGGAGGCTTTGACATAACCAAAGACACCATTGTCATTAGCTGACTGTGAAATATGTGAGTCCATTGAAGGTTAAACAGCATCTTTATTCACATTGGGTGTTTGATGAAGACTCATTTAATTTTAATATTCAAGTAGCTAAGATAATAATAATAGTAGTGGGAAAATGCACATTTCATAAAATAATTGAAAACCAGCTTTAGCAATATTAAAAATAAATTGTTCATTTGAGTTAAAAAATACAATTAAAACAACACCAAGTTTTTAAGTATAATAAAGATGATTTTTTAAAGAGGTTGATCGGTTTGTATAACGTTAAAAATGTATTTTTGAAAACATAAAAGTTTTTTTATCCCGAGTTATATGAAAATATCTTAAAAAATAATTTTTCTCTTTGATTTCCTTATTAATTAGAATCGGTTTTTGAATAGAATCGATGACTTGAAAGCAAACGGGACTTATTTCTTGAATGACCGCCCGCGGGAAAAAAACATGATACTTAAAACCGTCAGAAGTCAACACCCTGGAAAATATTTGGCCAGCAGCTTTTATAATCTCCGCTAATGATGGTAGTACGAACGCAGCCAAGAGGCTTACAAAGTGTTAGCAAACAATATTTTCAATTCTTCAGCCAAACTGCAAGCTGCAACCGATTACAAAGTATGCAAATATTGAATTGGCTAATAAGTAATAAAAAAAAGTATAGTAACCACCTATTAGCATGTAAATAAGCAAAAGACTGACGAGAGTGAAAGGTCTGGGCGCAGGTCCATTTGATTTAGTGTCTGTGTTTTATCGCCCATTGAATCGTCTTTGACTTCGCTATGTCTTTTTAAGCTCACTCAACAGTTAAACAATCGTTTCGAAAGATTCACAAAAATTAGCATGAAAATGGGCGGCATGGAAAGACGTTTAGTGTGGATTTTCGTAACTCCCATGACTGACACCGTTTAAAGGTTGATTAGGCTAGAGATAGCCAATTCAAATTAATTGAGTAAACTGATTAGCCCCACTGTGAATCCCAATAGAGCTTCAGGCGTAGAATAAAAAAAATACTGTATCTTTCAAAATAATAACGCGGTGTACATATACGTTAAAAACGAAAGACTTAGGCAACGAACTTGACAGCCTCCGGACAAGAGAACCACTCATCATCAGCCGCATTACGACCCGAGCCTTCATAGAGAACAAAAGAGTTGGGAAACCCACGATGAAAAACCTTTTCCATCCGCATCGAAGCTGTGGATTTCGCAATCGCCATCGAACGGAGGCGCTGCATCGCCAGAAGTGTGGTAAAGACTCATGGCTACGTCAGTCGCAATCTAAATTCAAATATCTTCTGGGCACCCATACATATAGTATGTACGTATGCAAAGTGAATATCAACAACCAAACGGAACGATCTGTGACCAAACCGGTTGCCGATGGCTCAGTATGCAGCCATTATTGATGACACCTTCGACATTTAGCCAGCCAACACAGGCAAAATCAAAACGAAAAACTTAAAACGATGACTTAGTTGAGCAAATGGTAAAAGTCAAACAGGGTACATAATTTCTGGTGAACTTTTTGTGCCGCTGGTTTTCGATTCTGGTGATTGGAAATGCAGCTGCTGCCGGTTTGTTTGCCTTTTAGAGACTGCGTTTAAGTTTTCCATTTCCATTTCGCACTGGCCGCCATCATCTTCACACGAGCCCACTGTTTTCCACCAAAGCAAAGCCATGGACTTTCACTTCCACACTTGTCTGGGGAGCATTTTCAGAGTTTTTCGTTGCTGGTTTTCCTTTTGTTTTTATGTTTTTATGTTTTCTTTCGACTATGCCAATATTGGCCACACAAATCGATGTTGGCCAACGGGGAGGAGGGCGAAACACGTTTCCAGTTTTTGTAGCTGCCCAACTAATGACCAAATATTATTTTACTTTGATTTCTTTTGGCCTGAAGGTCAATTGGTTTTTACCATTTCTTACAAATTGAGTTAGTTTTTCGGTGTCAGTTGTTTGTTTGAGAGTCTGAGGAGAGAAAAAGATGTCGTAGGGGAGAAACTGCAACGGTAATTTAGGATCAAATGCTTATAGACAGAGTAGAAGCTCTTAAGTGAAGTGGTTAAATGAAATGAACGACATGGTCATTAATAAAATTATTTAATTCAGTTAGAGAAACCTTAAACTTGTGTGCAGCGAATAAGCGTGTCAAGCTGAGTAGATCAAACTAGACTAGACAGCTTGATAATATATAAATACTGCACTAGTTTCTTTTTAATTTAATTGAATTTTTATATGAGAAATTAAAGAAGTTGACCAACTTTTATTGAGTTAGACTTTAATAAAATAATCGAAGCAGCTAAGAATAATTTAAACTGAATAATTTAATCTAAAAATGTAATCTATATTTCAATTTTACTTAGTAACTGCTTTGGATGGGCCAAAATGTTGATTGTAGTTCTGGAGTCCGATATCAGAACGCGGACTCTTTGCTACCCAATCAGACTCACTCTCATTGGGGTTAAGCGTTCCCAAATCCCGTCGACCGTTATGGAACTCACTCCATGAATCACAAACAGCATGAGCAAGAAGGAGGGACACCGAGAAGAAACCAGATTTCTATGTAAATTTATGTTCTTTCGGGCTCCGAGATTTCTTTTCCCCCTTGCAGCTATTGATCTTTTGGCTCAACATAAAAATTTGTGTTTAATTCCGATGGTCAGGTAGCCCCAGCCGCAGGGAGCAGAGCTCGGGGAGAGCAGCGGGAAAAACCAGCTGGGCAGCTGGCCGATCGGAGGAGGGACCCAATGAACTAGTTTCGGGCTTGTGGCACGTAAGCTTATTTTTTGAGTGCTTTGGTATTTGGGTTACATGAATCGGTTGTGGCCAAAGCTGCGGCTAACCCAATGAGGGTTTCATGGCGTTTCTATCGGTCAAGAAAATAAAATCGTTTAATGAGCTATGAAGGGCTCTGCTGCAGTGAATCTATTGGCTGTCTAATGTTATTGGCAAGCAAATTGGTCTGGTTTTAGTAAGCCGGTCTTATTTTCTCATCGAACCAGCATTTGCGGCAAGCTGTTTTCCTCAAGCAAAGCCGGGCAACTGAAACTTTTCACTATCCGCATATTTGTAGTTATCTTGTTCGGGTAACTTGCCTCCGCCAACAGCAACGCGTTGCAACTTCAGCGGCAAAAACATTCATTTGTTTTCATGTACAGCCAGGGCCGTCGAAAGCTGAGCACAAAATGGTCAAGTGATTTCCACCGGCCAACACTTTCACAAGCCGAAAACGCCAAGAAGCGCTGTGGAGTCCGAAGTGGGCGAGGAGTGCAATTAATATTTAATTCGTAAATAGACAGGGAAAAGTTTTGTTTTTCCATTGCCTCAGGCTGATGATTTTGTAACTGAAACATAATGGAGAAGTCCAATTGCTGAAATGTGCAATGAGTCGCACCTCAACAAAAACACAGGTACACCCACCGAATTCCCAAAATGAAGTCAGCACCATGTAAAGCAGAAAGAAACAACAGGTTTTAAAAAACAACACCAGTCGGAGTATGATGAGAAGCCCGCGTTATAAAAAAATTAATGAAGAAATTGTATCAACAATAGCAGTTTTTTATAGCAACAACCAGAAATTTGAAAACATTCAATAAAATAATAAAAACAATAACAAAGCTTATTAGCTATTAATTATTATTTATTACTAAATATTTCAATTACTTTAATGTTAAAAATACTAAAGGAGCTGTTATGTGTTTAAAACTTTATTCTTTTATTGTTCAGTGATACTTTTAATTTTTACGAAATGTTGGAAGTGCAAAATGGGATTTGGTGAAAAATAATAAACAACTCCAATGAACCAGACTTTTTTTTTAATATTGTTAGCTTCAAAATCTTTTTTTAAACACAGCCAATCCACAATCATGGCCTAATAAAACGGGGAAGGCCCTAGAGTATCACTATCGCACACCAAAGCCCTCGAGACACCAGTATAAGTTTCTTAATTTTTGTTTTGGTTAGCTGCGACTCTTTGAAACCAAAGACGTTGGCTGCGTGGCTCAGAGACGAGCAGCCGTCAAGAATGCAGCCAAAAAGGCAAAAGCAGCCAGGCCAAAACAGGTTGGCATTAGTGTGCACACCAAAGTCAAGAGTCAGACAGTCTGCCCAAAAGTCAGTTGGGGGATCATTGTGTTTGGGTATGTATGCGGTGTGAGGCAGTCATGTGAATTTTATTTTCAAGATTCGGCAGCTCGAAAACGCAGATAGTGCCGAAAGTGAATGGAGCAGCTTGGGAGAATGGCAAACTAGAAGATGGGGCTTGATAACTTGGCGTGATTATAAATACGACTGGGCTGGGCATTTCTACAGTTCAGCTCGCCTCACTAAGCTCGATCGCTTTTTTTTCATTTTTAACAATTGTCGACAATGACAGCGCCAAATGTTTTTGTTTTCCTTCGCTTTTTCCCGGCGAGTAAGCTCCACTTTTCCACACGATTCTCACAATTAAAAACATAAGAAGAAAACAGAAAACGCACACAAACATGGAGAGGGAAAAATAAAGAAAATTTGTGGCAATTGTAACTAATCGACCAGCAATGGCAGATGGCGCCGTGAAAGCGCCCACCTTGGAAAACTTATGAAATTGTCAACTGCTTTTCAACATGATTAAGCTGCTTTTTGCCGCAGAGAAGTAGAGAGCGCCGCGATGACCATTAATTCGCTTTTAGAATGAGCTTCGTGCACTTTCACTGCCGCCGAGACGGAAGTTGAGAATTTAAAAATAACAAAATTGAAAATCAAGATCCACAAAAACGAAAACTTTCGTTACCGGAAAAAAGTTGTTGATTAGAAAATTATTGACCCAATCGAATTGGTATAATTATTTAATGATTTGATGGACGCCAGACATGCAGGGAATAGCCATCTCTCTTCATAATAAGTCACTCGCATGTCGGTGAAGATCTTAGGCTGCTTCAACTCGGATCAGCTCATTGATGGATATCCCTTAAGATTAACGCAGACAACGCCCTGGCATTCCATTCTTTTCATGGCTAACTGACATGTTGCAGCAGATTTGTCATTCTTGAGAACGAACCCCAAGGCCCGATAAAAAGAACGAGTTTGTATCCTCTAATTTCATTTAACTTCTCGCACTTTCAGTACATAATTTAAAATGGCTCGATTCTACATTTTTACCTGAGATTGCGTTGAATTGATTTCCGAAACGACTCGTTGTTATTTTGTTTTTTAGGGTGTGTTTACATGTTTCTACCTGCCGATACTTTGGCATCAGCTGCCAATTATCAACCTTCTACAAAAGGTCGAAGATTAAATACCTGACCCCAACTAATGGATGACTTTCTGGCGTTTCTTTCAGGTTTTTACTCTTGTGAAATTGTGGATTAGATCGATTCCGTCAACCAGAAGCCTTGAACAATGCTACTTTGGTAGGCTTACCCTACGAAAACGCCACTCTGGTAAAATAAAATTGGAAAAACAACTGGGACAAATGTTGTCCATGTACTTTATCTCCTAAAATGTTCTTTAAATTCCTTAAATTTTCTCATATGGCAACTTATATCAACACAAACATTTTAAAGCACCTAATCCATTTCGTGTAATTTTTTCAAGTCAAATGACTTAGGCAACAAACTTGCATTCACTTCTGGAGCTTGCAATCCCTAATAAACTCTTACCACAAAGTTGGTCACAACTTCCGTTTAGAAATATACAAATTATGACTAAGCCATATCGACTTTAGCCGCTAAGCACGCGCTAAAACAAGTTTTACTAGTTTCGATGCTTTTTGCAATGTTATGGAAATGACTTAAGTAGAACTCATCTCTGTAGAGATTCATGGCACAAATTTTCATAAAAAAACGAGTTTATTTATATTTGCCAAATAGAATTGCCAAAAAAATTAACCACGAAATAAAGAGCAAACAAGGCATTTTTGTGGGTTGTTTGGAGATGCGATGAGGTTTTTGTGCTGGTCTTGTATGTCATTTGTTCTGCTTTTCACTTCGAGTTGAGTGAAATTTTCTACCACTTCTATGGTTGTTTCGGTTTCTGTTATTAGACAACAACAACAGCACGCAGAGTGCGTCTTGAAATTGAGGTTAACTGTTTGGGTAGCTCTCGCTTTTCGTCTTTTCGGGGGGCTCGGTGGTTAGGGGGTTGCGGGGAACTCGACTTGGCCTTTATTGAATGAATGTGACAACAAAGGCGAGTCAGACACGGCCGACAGACAATCGAAGCTTTTTTAGGTTTTGTTTAATAGAAAGTAAAAGAAATTGTTCTTATTGTTGTTGGGGTGTGCTACTTTTAATGCATAAATGGGAATCTATATTGAAGTCTTTATATGGCATATAGCATAACCACACTCGCCACAGCAATTGTTTGCCCAATCAGTGGAATCAATCAATTATTTAAACACAATTAAAGCGAAGTTTAATTGCAAATTGTTGGGTAAAACGAAAGCATGGCATTGTTTATGGCTGCAAATGTAGACATACATATAATCGAATTTTTGCGCAATGACTGAAGCCAAAATGAGGCGTGGCTCGAAATTGTTTTTTATCCATTATTGCTTATTGATTGATAGCTTAAAGTAATTTTTTTAGTGATGGCATGTAGTGATGTCAGCCAAAAAGCAGAAGAATATAGCGTCATCTATAGATCAAAGTCTATGTATTCCCTCTTAAAGTTTCATTATTTTCTTAACGTTTTCAGTCGACATCTTTCCCTTTCCCACTATTTTCCGGCTTATTCGCAGCCAGCTCAATATGCAACTCACCTCTTTAAATGCAGCTGAAGCTATAAATATAACCACGAAATGGGTTCGATACGAATCTTTCGCGAATGCTTAGTATTCCAATTTATGTGGCATGTCAGCTGGTTATCCTTGACGACCACTACGATTTTGTTTCCCTTTCGCGACAACTGCGGTGTCAGTTTTTATGGCAACTTTTTGGTGCTTCTTCCTTTTTTGTTCATTTACACTTTTTAATGGAGAAGGCCAGTGTTGCACTGCATGGAAATAGTTTGGTTGATTAAAAGTTCAAATAAAAGCAACTCTAAATGAAAACGCGTCACATAAATGTAATTTAGTTTCGGTTCGGCTAGTCATACTATCTATAGTTTCTCTAATGAGGTTGGGCCTGTTTAATTATGCATGCCGTGGAAGAGTTCCGAAACCAGTCAACCCAAGAATTCTTGTCACAAGTTGGAGCACGTCTTCGGAAGGCGATGGGAACATTTTGGTTTTGAGCTCACCAAAATGTTCGAAGAAATATTTATGTTAATTAGGTGAAAATCTGGTGAGGAAAGGCCTGAAAGAATTCCTATTTCAGATTTTTGTTCACTGGCATTAGAAGGCGAAACAAATGACTTAAGCCACAAACTTTTGGTAAGTGAATACCTAAATAGCTGGTTCTGTTGCTGGTCAAACTTTAACCACAAAACTGCAATTTTGTTGCCATTTTTATTTTTCGGTAACTTTTTGCGGTTTTTTCTGGCCGCACCATTTCTTTTGGGCATTGGGCAAAGCACTTGTTGGCCAGTTTATGTTGCCAGTGGTTGCTTCCTTTTCTTTTTCCCGTATGTTGGTTATTTCCACGCGGGTAATGGGAGCGTAAGTGCGCAGCTGGCGTGTGAAGTGAGTTCCGCAGTATGTTACTCCCCGCGGATGGACTACTTACTCACACAGGTGCTCGACTTGGCGGTAGTCTAACGTCAGTTAACAAAGTAAAGTGCAAAAGGCACAGACAAGTTAATGGACTGGTAAAAACCGAACCGCTCACAATAAAAAGAAGCAAAGAAACTAGGGAGAACAAATTATACTAGAAGTTCATCTAACTTTGTTGGTGAAAAACAACATAAAAGCATAATAGCGGCATAGCTCTGAAGAATAAATACTGTTTCACTTCAAATGGATTTTCTATCCTTAGAAAAAATTCATTCGAGAGACGATAATATTTCATAAAATTATTAAAACCAAATTCTTGCATTAATTGCTGGTTATCTTTCATTAATCGTTATTAGTTTTTTCACAGATGTTGTAGTTTTGTCCTCAATGTTGCAGTTAATCCACTAGACCTTTTTTAAATTTAAAATTCCTTTAATTTTGTTGCTTGTATTTAATGGTCCATTTCCTCAAGAGGCACACACGATCCAAGGCACGCGCCTCCATTAAAATGCACAGAAATCCTTTTTTCGATAGCCAACAAACAAACACAAACACGAAATCAAACACAAAACAATCGAATAAAATCCAGTTTCCAGGCAAATACATTCATAGACTGCACAAACACTTATTGTTAGGACACAAAGAGATCTGAAAGTCCGGGGAGCGATTACTGTACCATGCCACACGAAGGCCAAACTCAGACTGAAACTTGTTCAGCCAAATCAACGCGGTCTGCACCTGAAGTCTCAGTCTCAGTCCACGCACACACACAAACACACTCGCCCGCCCAAAGACCACAAGACACGACAGCAAAAAGGTAAGAAAGAGGCGAGGAGCAGGCCAGAAAAGAAGGTTGAGGCGAGCGGCGATAGGTAGAAATGTGAGACTGGCGAGGAAAATTAAACAGCTCAACGTGCCCGTTTTACAGATTTTCCTATGCCCGCCTGTTTCTTGCCTTCTCGCACTTCTTAACGGCTTTCGTTTCGCTGGCTCACTCACACTCACAGAAACCCAGTCGGATCGATACATACACTGCTCTAGAGGTTGGTTCGCCGCAGCCTCTCAACGTCCACAACGCGCCACAGTCGAAGGCGTACTGAAGCCCCGAAAGCTTCCGATTTCTTGGGTTTCCCTGTGAGTTTATCGGCTGGTGAGCCGGCTTGCGATCGTTGTTCGCCGCCGTTGGATTCGGCCGAACAGACGGCTCAGAAACTTTGCCGATTTCGCGAATTCGCCGCAGAAATGCTACCTGGCCAATTACGTGGGCTGTATTGTCTCGACAGGATTAGCCGCGCCGATCTTACTTCTTGGGAAAATTCAGTCAACTGCCTGGGACATGTGAAGTTGCCGGTGGGTTTTTCCCTCCCACCGGTCCTGGGTGCTAACTGTTTTCAAACATTGGCGCGTAACGGAAGCCGAATCCACAAAGTGTAACGAAAGACTCAAGTATCGAACTTGCTAAAAGGGTGCAACAACAATATAAAGTGAGCAATAAATGGAGGGAATATTACTCATACCCCTGGAAATCCTTTGGCACTCCTTGCCTGCCACTGTTTCGCTATCTGCCGGCCTTTCTTAGCTCATTATGCTCTTAAATAACCCATTCTACCTTTCACGCAGCCATAAACTGTGCAAAACGTGCGAAATGCCAAACGGAAGCGGAATCGGTTAATGTCCATCGAAAGACTGAAGCAACGAACCTGCCCTAAGAGTTCGTCTAAAAATGGATAACAAATCATAAAAGCAGGATGTTTGCACGTATTCTCTAAAAATCCTTTTTATGTCATTCTCGTACTTTGAAAATACGTTGTAATTGGTATTTCATAAGGAATTCAATATATTGTGCTGATTGCAATGCACTTTAATCCCACTTTAACCCAAATTAAATAAAGTTTACCATATAAATATTATTTCTTGGCCACTAAACTCTTTCGTTGTTTGGTATCCATTGATATCAACTACATTTAATGGTTACAAATGACCATCTTCTAATCAATCTATTTTTCCTTTTGATTTTCAACGTAATCATCCCAATAATAACAAAATAAGATTTAAATAAACAATTTAAATTGTACCATTGCATCGATTCAATACTGAACGACCATTATAAATCGAGTTCTCAGTTAGTTTTGTTCGACCATTAAGATTGATTTGTTTAATTGTTAATTTCCGTTTTTATTTTACCCCTTATTTCTAAATAGAAAAGGGTGATTCGAAATATTTTATGGATTTCAGTTGAAAAATAAATAAGGTGAAGAGATACAATTCACAACAACACAACATAAACTAATATAATTACAAGATTAGACTTCCATCAATTCATCTTCAAGTTAATTTCCCACTTGTTTTTCCAAAACAACAAATCATGATTTTATGAGTGTAATGAAACATATTTAATGGGGGAGAAAGGGATATGAAGATAGAAAGAAAATCGTTTAAAGTCTTAAGTGATACATATGTGAGAATATAAACACTCTAATGACTTTTAAAAGTTGTTGTGTTATCTGTATCTATAGTGAAAAATAATAGCAGTATCTCAAACTTAAGTCATTCTTTTTTGCTGCTGCAGGTCAAATATTAAAATTAAAGACAATACCCTTCCTTAGACGGAAGCGTAGACCATTGCCAGCCAATTGAAGACAATTGGACAATTGATAAAATCAGAAGGTTGAGCCAGCAGAACGGAAGTGCCATTTAGGGCGCGCACTCAAATATTCCGATGAGGATTTTGGATTCGAATTTAGGTTCTGGGCCGTGCCTGCCCAAATTTGGCCGGAGAAAGTCTTGACATTTCCATCAGAATTATGTTGTATTCGATTTCCTAACTTACATTGACATATCAAAAATGCCATTTGGCCGACAAGATACACACAAAGACTTCAAGGAACTAAAAAAAATTCCAAAGAGTAATAACAAATACTGCTATGTTGGTATTATGGTCACTGTCATACCTGGCATTTTGTTGGGCGGCTATATAGGCAAGAAGTTTGCCCAATTTCTCGAAGTATTTGATCTGTATACACCCGATATCGTGGAGGATGATGAATAGAACGACCGTGGCACAGATCGATCTCCGACATGGTAACTAAAAGAATTTGGATCAACCTGTGCACATCCTGTTCGCATGTATGCTAATGGGCCAAATCAAACAGGCCAAACGGGATGCTAGGAAAAGAGAACATAAAACGCAGTGCACTGCCAAGACCGGTAACCAAACAAATCAGAGCAATAAGTCCACCAAATCAGTTGAATCAAAATTACCAGATCAGCTTAAAGCAATAAATTAATTTATATTTGTAAAACGTTTTTACAACTTAAAGAAGACATAGCCGTGACATTCACTTAAGGGGTTATCCGGGTCTTGACACTTCAAAAAATTCATTTTTTTCAAACTTTTTTATATAATAGTATAAAGTTTCCGGAATGTTGTCAGAAAATTTCAAGTCGATCGAAGCAAAACTGTAGGAATGGGAGAAATTTAAAGACCAGCGCGTCGAACGTCACAACGGGCAATTCGGGCTCTGGCGTCGGGCAGATGCGGCACTTTAAACGCGTTTTTCTCAAAACCACTTTTTTGAAGTCGGTAGTCACGATTTCTCAAAAACTATTGCACCGATCAACTTCTGCTTTTGCACACTTCTTTATGACATAATTCTCTTGTCCTTAACGGAGGGATTTTTTAAATTTTTAATTACAACTCATTTTATAAGCCAAAATATGGCCAAAATTTACGTAAAAAATAACACTTTTTATGAAAAGCGCTACAAAAAATTCAATTTTTAATTTAAAAAAAAAATGGCTCGTAGAGGACAAGCAAGACACATATACTATCAGAAAAATTTTGGTTTTTTGATTTCAGATAAAAATTGGCGGCGATATTTTGCCTACCGCAAGGACACAATTTTTTATGAGGTCAAGATCAAGCCTGCCTCAACGGCTCAATTTTAAAAATTTTTGGTTCAAATTTGTATACAATGTTGGTCAAACCATAAACATTAATGTATAATAAATTAAATTTGTGAAATTGTCGTAAGATCTTTAAAAAAAATTCACGAAAATAGGCTTTTTTTTCGTGCTCCAAGACCCGGATAATCCCTTAAGCATAAATTAGTTTCGCACTTTTAAAATAAATTAATGTGTTCCTAAACACCTTCAACAAACTGTACAAAAAATGATATGCCTATGTATTTAATAAAAATTATAAAATATATTTTTTTGTTATAAATAACAATTAATAATTGGGGGTTTCTCTTTTAGATAAATTTAAAACATTCATTTTAAAATCAGACAGTTGCACTTATACTAAATGGTCCGTTGTGATAAATGAAATTATTATTTCGTCAAGCTTTTTAAGTGTGTGCTATATATAGCAACCGTAGATGGAAGTAGTTCCCTCTTCTTTTTTTAATATCTTCTTTTTTAATTGTGACATGATTACCTAGAACCGAAATCAGTTTGCATTCTACTTATGTAGAGCATGAATTATAATTTGAATTGCAGATTTGGTCATCACCAGACTTTTATTGCACATAGTTAGTGTGAAAGCATTGTGTTGCTCGCAGAATGTATTGTCTGTTATGGATTATATTGAGAGCCAACACGCTTAAACTTGAACTAATAAAAAAATTATAATTAAAATATTTAACACAGCACACATTCATCATTACCTGCACGCGAAAACGCCTTTTCTTAAGAGGTTATACGATTTTTATTTTAGTTAGCATAATGAAATTAGTTGCTGTCCATCATTCGGTGGACATCATAATTGCTGGAAGATTTATCCAAAATTAATATTAGAATTAAACTATTTTATAAACTAATTTTTTTTTTTTTTAATTATATAATATATTAACAAAATTTTTTAGTTGTCGAAGGCAAATGCAAAAACAAAATCATTTCGCTGAGATTGAATTTTAAAAATAGTTTATCAATTCCATTATTCATATAATGATTTTATTCCACTTTATTTATTGAAAAAATACAAATATTTCCTGGAAGAGCTGATATTGAACCCACGACTCATAGATTACTGGCAGTCTTTCAATGAGACGCTGGCTCTAAAATTTGTAGGACAGATAATAAATAAATAATCAGAAATTTATAAATAAATGACCATTAAGATATTTCAAATTTGTACTTTGAATCCTTACATGGCTATAAAATACGAACGCGAGAAAAGCCAAAAAAACGCAAAGGGTTTTTAATAGTCTCGCACTTTAAGAATCCTTATGGCAGTTAAACTTTAAAACAATAATAATGTTGCACAGTGTTATGTTAAATCGAGATAAATTATACAATTGTTAATATGGCATATTGGGCTAAAACGTATTATAAACTTCGTCAAATTTTCAAGGCATTTCCGACCCTATAACTCAACTCATCTAGTCATGATGATCAGGAATATATTTACATTCCTGATCATCATGACTAGATGAGTTGAGCTCAGTTTTAAAGCTACATATCGGTCGGCCATATCATATAGCTTCTTATTTTAGAATAAATCGCTGGTTTTGTGCCCGAGTTAAGGTTTTTAATAGTACTTGGACCTATCCCATGAGTTCGGTTGACTATATCCTATAACTGCCATATATATCTCATAATGGCCACACGGCTCTATGCCGATTCTTGAGGCTTTCCAAATCGTATTTTTATACCCTTGCAGAGGGTATTATAATTTTGGTCAAAAGTGTGCAACGCAGTGAAGGAGACTTCTCCGACCCTAGAAAGTATATACATATATTCTTGATCAGGATCACCTCCTGAGTTGATATAAGCATGTCCGTCTGTCTGTTTCTACGCGAACTATTCTCTCAGTTTTAAAGATATCGAATTGAAACTTTGCACACACCCTTCTTTCCTTTGCACGCAGTATATAAGTCGGAACGGCCGGGATTGGACGACTATACCGTAGTTAGGAAGTTGGGATTTTCTATCGATTTTATATTTGGCCAATCAATCCGACCTACCAAATTTCGTAAGGATCGGCCAATTATATCCTATAGCTGCTATATAACGATCGGAAATGCCATAACTTTGGTGTTTGTAAAGTTAGGAAGTTGGGATTTTCTATGATTTTTATATTTGGCCAGTCAATCCAATCTACCAAATTTCTTATTATCGGCCGGCTATATCCTATAGCCGCCATATAACTGATTGATCGGAAATGACTTTGGTGTTTGTTAAGTTAGGAAGTTGGGATTCTAAAGGTTTTATTTTTGGCCAATCAATCCGACCTACCAAATTTTATAAGGATCGGCCGACTATATCCTATAGCTGCCATATAACTGAACGATTGGATATGCCATAACTTTGGTGTTTTTAAAGTTAGGAAGTTGGGATTTTTATGAGTGTTAAGAATGCATCATATGAATAATTTTGGAGAATATAATTTACAGAATATTCTGCAAGGGTATTTCAACTTCGGCTCCGCCCGAAGTTAGCTTTCCTTTCTTGTTTATATATACAATGATCATCATGTTAAAAATCTTTCCTTTTACACGCTATATTCTGGCATACGAACAATTAAGTCAAAATTGATTTTCTTAGCAGGTCCGACGAGAAACTGACAGCTAACGTGAGAAGCCAAAAATTAATTATTTAAAAAAAATCAGCAGGCGATCTTGGCTTACCAAAGTTAGCTCCCGTTCTCGTTTTAGTTAAAAAATAAAATCTTCTGCACAAAAAAACGTATAGAATTTAAATTTTAACTATGCCATTTTACACATCCCTAGGTGTGACCATAAACGAAAAATACTAAAAACGTAAGCCTCACGTATGCAGTATATTGATACTAGCACTTTCTCAACAGCTGATCGCCTCGGAAAATAAACAAATGTTAATAATAGTAGAAATGAATTGAAGACCAAGCTGCCAAATTTGAATAGAGTCACAGCTGTTTTTCAGAAAAACGAAAATAGGAGTGAGAAATGTGGCTGGCAGGAAAGCTGCTCGGTGGATTCATATCCCGCAGATCAAGTCGGTTCCTGCACCTCAAACGAAAGGAGGTCTATATGGTGAGTCAAATACTTCTAAGGTCTTTAGTTTCTGCCCGTTATGCAATTTCCTATCTATTTTCACTAGGAATGCTTTCGCATACTGGGCGTGCACGAATCTTCGGATCAAAACACGGTGCGCCACGCCTACTTGGATCTGGTGAAGAGGGTGCATCCCGATTCGGGAACCGAGGAGGCCAGTGCCGAGCGTTTCCAGCAGGTGGACGAGGCCTTTAGAGTCCTGCAGGAGAAGTTCGCCAAAGGCAGACGCAATATCCAGGAGGACGAGGAGGAGGCCCTGGAGTTCGACATTAAGCATACGGCGCCACAGCACCGGCAATATCTCTCCAACGAGGGAATCGGCGTGGGCAATCCCTATCAGCGCCAGAAGCAGTACCAGCAGGTACGCGCCATGAAGGCACAGGAACGCGTCCTGGAGCACCGGATCGACAAGGCGGCTGCTGGAGAGAAGACGTTGATGTCGAAGGGCGGCAATCACTTCCGCAAACACGCTATTAAGACCAAGTACGGCATAGACCGGGTGGTTGAGGATCTCATACAGGAGGCCATGTCCAAGGGTGACTTCAACAATCTCAACGGTGCCGGCAAGCCGCTGTCCTCGACTCAATCGCAGAATCCCTATCTGGACTTCACCACACACAAGCTAAACAAGATTATGCTGGACAACGGATTCACGCCGGAATGGATCAGCCTTGGCAAGGACATTAGGGATGCGGTCGCCCAGCTAAAGAAAAAACTGCGACAGGAGCGCATCTTCTACGGTGACTGGCCTCTGGAGCGCTCTGAGGACCTGTTCGCCTGGCAGAGATTTACTAAGCAGCACCAGGAGGACGTCGATCAACTGAACAAAATGATCGACAAGTACAACCTGATAGTGCCCATCCTGGAGAATCAGTTCTTTCGAATGCACCTTGACAAGATGGCCGAATCCATATTTAAGGATCCGGATTTGCAGCGCAACGTAATCCGACCTGAAGTAAAGGCCAAAGCCAGGCGTCCTACAGATAATCAGGGGAGTACGAGTACAAGTCTGTTTTCCCTAATTAGTAAACTATTGTAATACAAATGTTTGATCGTTAAATATGTGATACTAGTTTCAAAGGTAGAAAAATGTAAAACATTTAAGAATTTATTTCATAAACTTTATATTGATAAGGGAAAATTATGACGTAGTTTTATTTAAGCCACGCAAGAGATGCTAACCAATTTTTGTTTTTATAAATACCGCACACCTATTCAAAATATAATATATTGGAATACTTGATAAAACTAAATGTTATTAAATCGATAAAATCTTTAAATTAACATGGATGATATTTTTTTATGAACTGTTTTTGTTATTATGAAGTAAAAACTCAAAATGTGTTAAATGAAAATTTTTTTAATCAAACGTAATGTCGTCATTTTTTTGTTATATTTTTTTTATAATATTTATTTGTAAAAAACGTCATGCTTAGCCTATCAAAACTTTTTCACAACTAATAAGAGATTGTTATTAAAACTAATTTGACTTTTATAGTCTTCGAGTTTGGGAAGTTTTCCTGTATACATATGTTCTTTACATAAATACATCCCTGTGATTTCCATTCAAGTTGTGATGCGCAAAAACCTATTGTTAAGATTTCACAGACCTCCCTCAGGACCAAGTCGAACTGCTCCGCTCGCCAGGAGCGCCAATGCTTTTGGGAAAGCCCAATGCTCAGCCTTATGGATGCGTTGCGTCAGGGAATCCTCATCATCATCGGGCAAAATGGGAACTGCGGCCTGAACCAGGATCGCTCCCGTATCTACGCCCTCGTCCACAAAGTGAACAGTGCAGCCGGACTCCTTTTCGCCCGCCTCCAATGCCTGCCGTTGAACATGCAGTCCCGGATACTTGGGTAGCAGCGAGGGATGGATGTTGATGAGTCGTCCCCGCCACTCCCGAACAAACGGAGCACTCAGGACTCTCATGAAACCAGCAAGACAAATCAAATCCACGCGAGCCGCCTTTAGATTTCGCGTGAGCTCCGCATCGTAGACCTCACGGCTGGCAAAATCCTTGTGGGAGATGACCAGTGAAGGTACGCCTGCTTGGGCGGCACGTTCCAGTCCGAGGACACCCTTCTTGTTACTGATCACCAGGACTATATCCGCATGCACTCCCTGCGCCGAATCCCGCGATGCATCTATGAGTGCCTGCAGGTTGCTGCCCGTACCCGATATGAGGACAGCTACCCGTTTTCGTGGCAGCGTCAGGATCTTCTGAGTCCTGGCCAATGACGTCTCAAAGTTTTGAACAAAGACCTGCGGTTTCTTCGGATCTTTGCGGGCAATCACCTCCCCGACAACAGCAGCACGTTGTGGATAACGTAACTCTTTGAGTACACTCTCCACCTCCGTAGGGGCCACCACCAGGATCATGCCCAATCCACAGTTGTAGGTGCGCTGCAGCTCGGTTGAACTGATGTTTCCGGCTGACGCTAGCCATGCGAAAACGGGAGGAAGCTGGAACTTATTGGCATCAAGGCGCACGGCCAGGTCCTTTCGCAACACTCGCGGTATATTCTCGCTGAGACCACCTCCTGTGATGTGGGCCAAAGCTTTGATGCCGTGATTCCCTTTGGAAAGCAGTGAGCACAATGCCTGGACATATATTTTAGTGGGCACCAGCAACTCCTCGCCCAACGTCTTCTCGCTGAAAGGCGCCTTGTCGTTGAGTCCTAATCCCACACGCTTCAGGACGGCGTGGACCAAGCTAAATCCATTGCTGTGGACACCAGACGAGGGTAAGCCGATGAGCACATCTCCTTGATGAATTTCCTCCAAAAGCGGCAGGATGCCGGAGCGTTCAGCTATGCCCAAGGCAAAGCCAGCCAAGTCATAGACCTGAGGCTCGTACAGCAGCGGTAGAGCAGCACTGTGGGAATCTGGAAAGGATTGGACAAAGGATTAGTTCGTATAAAAAAACATTTTCCTAGAACATTGGTGCGACAAATAATAAATATCAAACAATATTATTTGTAAAACTGGAAATACCAGATTAAGAATAATACGCTTGAGGGGAATACAGAAGATCTAAGATGACCAAAAACTGTGATATCAAAAAATAAATTAAAAAATGGAAATTTATTTTATAAATTCTATCGTAGAGCAGATCCTATTTTATTATTTTGTTTAAATTCATTTTTTTTACTCTTGTCAGTTTTAAAATGTTGTTCTTAATTATTAAAAACAACTAAAGGTGCCGATCGCCACTTACCAATAAAACTGCTGTTGGCCTGCCTGGCGCCCTCCAGAACCCCAGAAAGCACCTCCTTGGCCAACTCCTCCTGCCAGTGTCCGCATGCATAGTAGCTGGAGAAGCTGAGGGGTTCAGCTCCATTACAAATGATGTCGTTCACGCACATGGCCACCAAATCGATTCCCACGCTGGCGTTGCGATTCGTTTGCTGTGCTATTTTTAGTTTCGTGCCGACGCCATCGGTACCCAGGATGAGAATGGGATCCTTGTAGTGAGTGGGAATGCGTGTTAGCCGACGTCCAGATGCGTTTTCAAAGCAATCTTGGCGTGGAGCTGTTAAACTCAGCTTGGAGGTCAGTTCCTCGAGCTCCACTGGAAGCTCACCTTCGCCAGTGCCACCGAACGGAGAAGCCACTTTCTGCAATTGCTCCACAAAGTTGCGCACCTGGACGGGAGAACCACTGGCTTTTGACCGCCGCTGCAAGACACCCAGCACTTTGGCTCCAGGCAGGGATGTCCGCCACAGTTGACTCGACTGAGGCAGGATCAGAACCATGCCAATGCCGCAGTTATGACGCTCCAGAAGTGTCTGGGCACTGAGCTTTAGCTTTCCTGACAGCCAACCAAAGATTTTAGGTACTGGGACCGCACCGAAATCTAGCGTCGTCTCGTAGCCTTCGGGCAGAAGGCGCTGGACATCGTTCAGCAGACCATGGGTGACATGGGACACCGCCTTGATTTCATTGCCTTTTTGAAGATAAGGCAGCAATTGCTGGACATACTGGCGTGTGGGCGTGGCCAGGACATGAGCCAAGGTCAGGCCATCCTCGCTTCCGTCAACGGGTGAACAATCTCTGAGATTAACTTTTAATGCAGCCAACTGGGTAAGTATCTCATTGAAGCCAGCGCAATGAAGTCCAGACGATGGCAGACCGACAAGAAGGTCACCCGGCTGGTAAAGATCAAAACGGGGCAGAACCCGAGCCTGCTCCACGATTCCCACGCAATAGCCAGCCATGTCGTGTTGGCCGGGTCCATAAAGAGATGGCATCTCCGCAGTTTCGCCACCTAGGAGGAACATGGATTTTGATTGATGGATTTAAGCGGACATTGGTCATGTTCTCACCAACTAATGCGCAACGCGCATCGCGACAACCATCAGCCATTCCCTTGACCAGCTGGGCAGCCAGTGGAACGTGCAGCTTGCCGCAGGCAATGTAGTCCAGGAAAGCCACTGGTTCAGCGCCCAGTTCCAGGAGATCGTTTGCGGCCAGGGCGAACAAGTCGTAGCCTACATTTTCGTACAGTTCGTGCTCCAGGGCTAGATGGATCTTGGCGCCCACCCCCTGAGTGGCCTCGACAATTACCGGCTCTTTGTAGCTGAGATCCTTTATGCGGAACAGTCCTCCGAATCCACCCAAACCACCGAGGACGCCAGGCCGCTGGGTGCCACGGGACAACGGCTTGATGCGTTGCACGAGAGCATCCCCAGCGTCTATGTCCACGCCGCTGTCCTTGTAATTCAGTCCCGGTGAACTTGCAGTAGCTCTAAGTAAGGGAGATATATGTGAGAAGATTGAAGTATAGATAGAGAAGTATCGTTTCTGAAGATGATAACATGAGTTTAATATATTCGAAGAGTATGGTTTAAATTTAGAATTGTTCGGCCTGTTCCGTCTTTTATACGATCAGCAAAAGAAAGAAGAATTGGGAAATGTTCATCCTCAAAGCTTTAAAACTAAGAGAGAAGTTAAAGTAGGCACGGAAGGACGCACAGATGGATGCATCACAAGTTTCCGACAATATAGGGAATTCAGCACGCTAAATGAATCATAGTATATACCTGACATAGACACACAAAGGGAAATGTTTATAGTTGCCCTGAAGACGGTTGCGAAAGCGCAGCCGAAATATATCGAAATAAATTTCAAAACTTGTATTCTTATTTTTTTTTTTACAATTAAGACGTTGACCTTGAGCAGATAAAACATTAAAATGGGAAATATATTACACATATCAATTTTAACTAAACAGAAAAAAAATAAATTTAATAATCATGCGATTTTTCAAAACCTTGTTTTGCTAAATAATATAACATTTAAATATTACCTAATGTTGTTATAGGTATGATCGGGCCAATTATGTTATAAATTTTTGTTCTTAGCCTTCGAAAAGCATTTACAAAATTATACAAAAGAATACATTTTATCATAATCTTTAAAATTTTCGTCTTTAATGAGTGCTTGATAAATGATTCTCCTATAATTACATTTTGACTGCCTTCTGGGCAATGTCCGTTCTGTACTGAGCTCCAGATCCCGAAAATGTAATGCTGCCAGCCAACTTCGTGGCCCTGGCAGCGGCCTCCTTTAAGCTGCCGTCCAGAGCTATGGCAATGAGGACCCGACCGCCATTGGTCAAGGCTTCCTTCTGTGGATTCACAGCAAGGCCGCTATGAAAAACCAATTGAGTGGGAGAATTTGCAGCCGGAAGTCCTGAAAGGATTATATGAAATACTAAGACATTCTAAGATAGTTGCAAAAGTATTACCAGATATAAGGCATCCCTTGGTAGAGGTTTCTGGATAGCCAGCACTGGCTAGGATCACACCCACAGCACTTATTCCATTGCGCCATTGCAGGGTAATCTTTTCCAGCTGTCCCTTGCAGCAGGCCTGCATTACTTCAAAGAGATCAGTTTCGAGCAGCGGCAAAATAACCTGGGTTTCGGGATCGCCGAACCTACAGTTGAACTCTAAAACACGAGGACCGTCACGTGTCAGCATGAGTCCCGCGTAGAGGACGCCCTGGTAGGTGATCCTCTCCTTGATTAGACCCTGTACCGCCCTTTCCAGCACTGCGTCTTGGACCAGTTCGAGGGCTGGTTGGCTGATCAAGGGACACGGGCAGTAGGCCCCCATGCCTCCGGTGTTCGGACCAGTGTCACCGTTGCCCAAACGCTTGTGATCCTGGGCGGGAAGCATGGCGCGCACACTTTTGCCATCCGTGAAGGCCAACACGGATACCTCTTCGCCCTCTATTAGCTCTTCTATCACCAGTGTGGCTCCCGCCTGTCCGTACTTTAGCTGTCCCAGGATCTCGTCCACCGCTTGGCAGGCTTCATCCGCATTGGCGGCCACCACCACGCCCTTTCCTGCCGCTAAACCAGCGGCCTTCACCACCAGCGCTGGGTAAGGGGCGCTGCAAGAGAAAATGTACGTTATTTTCACTCTAAAAGTGTCCTAAGATTTCAACTATACCTTCTGATGAATGCCTTGGCTTTTGCCGTGTCCGTGAAACTCTCATAGCGTGCCGTTGGAATGCCATGGCGCAGCATAAAGTCCTTGGACCACTTTTTGTCCGCCTCGATTTGGGCACCCTGCTTGCCAGGTCCAAAGCAGGCGATTCCCTTACTTCGAAGCACATCGCCCAAGCCCAGAGCCAACGGATCTTCGGGTCCGACAATAACTAGGGAGATCTGATTTTCTTTACTCCATTTGGCAATAGCCTAAAATTAAAACGCATAAAAAAATTCTAAATGAATTAATTTAAATTTAAAATACAGATTAATAAGATGATGGTGTCCATATATAAAGGTGTTTCAATATAATAATGAAGGCCATAAAAATGTGTTTTTTTAAAAATTGAAAGCCAATAATACATTTATGTATTATCATTTTTAAAAATACAATTTGTTAAGTGAATCATTTCAACAATATAAACAAATTGTTTCGGGAAAAAAAGCAATAAAAACTCAAACAAGTCTGTTGAGATAAAATATTATCAGATAACCGTTGTTTAAGCTCGAAATGTTGAAATCGAATTACTTAATTAACTTTGAAATCATATTACGATAATCGTGCTCATTAGTCAATTATCTTTTAAGATGCGATTTGTGAGGTTGGCATACAGAATCTTAAAAATGACTTTGCTATCTCTGTCTCTAAAATAATCTTTAATATTAATATCAAAATTGCTTTTTGCAATTAAACCGAGTCACGATCGTTAGCATCTTCTTGGGATCTTCATTCTGCTGGGTTTTTTCGATTTTTGTAACCACATTCCAAATGGGAGATAACACTCCTCTAAGTAACCGGTTCCATCGCCAATTTGTCGCCAAAATACTAAATGCCTTCCTAATTGTTTTGCCATTAAACTGGGTCTGGGGGTGCATTGTCTTCACATTTGGCGGTTGGGAGATCAACTGACTCAGGCGCCAGCTATGTGAGCCATGTCAACAAACCAAGTTAATCCCAAGCTCGATCGCTGGTCCGGTTTCGGTGTCGTCGATATCGTTACTTAGCTCTAATTCGAATTGGCGCCAACGCAGAGTCGAATTACCTGGCACTGGTGAAACGTGTCGAGCTTGCACTTGGTTGCGTTCCAGACCATTTAGCACCTGGGAGATTCATCCCGATTTCCTGACGTCCCCCATCCGGTTCGTTTATTTCCCAGGGTTCAAGAACGTTCGCACAGAACGACGTTTTAGTAGAGCTATTTGGCTTTCCAAATTAAGACAGATTTGTCAAATTCGGCCAAGGTTTTAATTTCCCGTAACGAAGGTTAAGTAGCGCTTATGTCAGATGGAATGAACAAAGAAAAAAGGGATGTGGAGAAAGATCAACAACTTTTTATATTGTATTTTTTAGCTTAGTCGGATTTTTAGTCGGATTCTCCGACTGGCTCTTCCCAAATTTGGTTGAAACGTTTTCGTCTTTATGCTTTACAGAGTGCGCTCATGATTTACTGTATTATATGCAAATGAAGTGCTGGAGAATGGGATCTGGAAGGGGCGGTGAGGCTGGAAAAGAATGTTGCCGCATTTGTTTGCGAATAAGTAAGGAATTAGATACGCTTTGCTGAATTAGTCGGACGGGTTTTTAGAATCGGCCAAAAAAGTATCAGGCGGGAGACATCTGGATGGGAAATTTCGTCAAACTATCTGCCAAGTGATGCCATTAAATAATTTGAGATTAATCTCCAAAGATCATTTATCACAATACATATGCTGAGCTTAATGATCGAACTATGCAATTTCTAAGAATAACTAAATAAAGATACAAAGAATGTAGAAAACCAAGTAAGTTAAAATTTTAATCAAGCTTTCGGATACTTAAATCAAATTTTCCAAATTTGGCATTAAAGTTGTAAAATAGTATAAATGTTCGTTTAATTGGAATGCCATTTCCTTTGAAGTGAAATTAACAGAACAACGTATTGTAATTATCCAATTCCCTGACAAAATCTAGAAGGTCTAAAAAACTTCTAAAATGATGATTTAATTACCTATTCACATCATTGTCAGTTAACTGGGGAAGCAGTTTTTACTAAATTTTTCAAAATATATATTTAGATCCATCGATTCCCTTTATACATAGGGGTTTAAAAACAATATACGACAGCGCAGTTCAACGATCGCCAAGGTATTTAGAGTTCCTTGAAGATGTAAGTCATGCAAATCAATATGGGACTTTCAAGATCAGCCACAATACTCATCAAATTGTAAGTGCCCCAACCTTCGAGTAGGGCATAACCATTCACGAATGTTTCATTAAATTTTTACTCTTCTTTCCGTTTTGCTGGATTTTACCATCCCACACTTTAGGAATTGCAACGGCGACAACGACAAATAACGTCGTTGATACCTATGTATATAAAATAATACTTATAAGAAATAAAATCATTTTATTTATGACTGACTAAGGCAACCAACAGCGATGATGTAGACGTTGATGATGACGAGCGGAGATGGAGACGGCGGCTCGGAACTGGGTTTCCGAACCGAAATATTGCCAAAAATCCGCTGGTGAGCGGATGGATATAAAAACGAAAGCGTCCGAGAAGCAGACAAGCAGTTTAGAACCAAACTTGAACGCGACACCATGTATTTGCTTGTAAGCCTACACTGCCTGCCAATCTGGGACCTCCCGAAATCGGATTATAAGCGTTGTCTCTTGTCCACCCACAGGTGAATTTCATCGTTGCGTTGACCGTGATGCAGGTGCAGGCCGGCTCCTACGTCCCTGACTCGGATCGAAACACGCGGACACTGCAAAACGACCTGGAGGTGGAGCGGGATGGCAACTACCGATACGCCTACGAGACCTCCAATGGAATATCCGCCTCGCAGGAGGGATTGGGAGGCGTTTCCGTCCAGGGTGGCAACAGTTACACCTCTCCAGAGGGAGAGGTCGTCAGTGTTAACTATGTGGCCGACGAGTTTGGCTACCATCCTGTGGGCACACACATTCCCCAGGTCCCGGACTATATACTGCGAGCTTTGGAGTATATTAGAACGCATCCCTACCAGATAAAGGATTACTACACCGGCGAGCTCAAGACCGTAGAGCACGATGCGGCTGCGTTCAATGTGTATACCCGGAAAACACAGGAAGCTTCGGCGCCAAGAACCCGCCAGAGCACCACACCAAAGACTATATACCTCACCCATCCGCCCACGACCACGTTCCGACCTCTGCGAGAAAGACGAGGCGCTTTGAAACATTGATGATCTATGGTCGAAAAACTTTCGGCGAGGGAACAGGCTTGGTCTTTTTGGAATCCCCTAGGCGAACCTGTCAATTTTGATCTAAGCGATTAATTAAGCCACAAGCAATAAATATAAGTGATAAGCAAACGTAAGCTTAAATGTAAAACAACGACAACAATCCATTGTTTATGTTTTGACTTGTCAACGAGCTGACAGATCCGAATTTTTGTCTATTTAATTATGTTTATAGAATAGCGATCGAACATTCGTTTGATAAAAGGCGCAACCGATTACCGATCCGTCAACTGTTATTTTTATTACAAATCGAACGAATATAGTGCACAAGTCAAAGGAACATAATTAGTTTAGTTAAAGAATTGTTTTTAAATTAAAGATATCTAGCTTTAAAATTAAAACAAATAACAGTTGTTATTGCTAATCAAAAATATCACTATAGGCAACAAGAAAAAATACCTGTTTCACTAAGAAACTAAAGGATTTTGAAGCAGCGGAAGGAAAAAATATGTTAGAAAATGTTGCATTTTTTTAGTCGAAAGAACAATCATTTTTCGTGAAAAAAATTGTTATTAGATATTTTTTATGTTAAATGTGCGATATATTCTTATTGCATTTTTAACGAATAAAACTTTTGTATTTTTAAACGAAAAATCTGAATGCTTTGGTATAAACTTAAATTAAAGATAAGTTCTACAATCTGAAGAAAACATTCTGAAAACGTTGTTGTTGCCGCGTCTACTAGCTATAATTTAGCTTCAAAACTGGTTTTAAAAAAATAACAAAATTGTTTGATTCACTGGAAAGTAAAACCTATCTAAAACACCATTTGCTAAATTTATTTTAGAATAAGACCGTAACGTTTTAAATATTTTGCAACCTTTACCACCCACCATACATACTATACACTGACACTTTTTTAATGCAAGTTAATTTCTTGTAAAGAACTTTAAATAAAGGTCCTTTATAATGTGTATATGGCAACTTAAAATTTTTAGACATTTTCCATTTTATCTTCTAACATTTGTTTAAAGTTAAGAAATACTCAATGAACTCTGGAAATCTTTAACACTTATGGAAATTAAATATAAAAGTATATGTATATGTATATGTATATATTTCTTAGTGAATATGATTCCATTTAGGGTTCTATTTCCCCAACAGACTTCCACTGCTCTGATTGGTAATCAGCAGAATTGCAAACGCAGCCCGTAAGCCCGTCGAGGGGTTAAAGCACAAGCTACTATCAGAGATCGGCTGCAATAAAAAGCCTTCCCAGAGTCTCGATTACGGATTTACGGCTGCCTCTTAGCATTGAAGTTCTCGGCCAGCATGCAGTTCATGTTTTACAATGATCAGAAGCCATAAAAGCGAATCACTATGGCATTAAAACGGAACCAGACGAATTAATCACACGAAGAACCCGCAAGATTCTTGGTAAAGCTGCACCCGAACCCCAATTAACCCACAAGCTCTCGGTTTTTTGTAACTTTAAGCCTCGGCCGAAGGTCAAACCAAGGTCGGGATAACAAACCTACCTCGAAGTCCTTAGGATCCAAGGTAGCGGCTTCCAGATTCTGGCACTTGTCTACTTGCTGAATTCCATGGCTGCCGGGCAATGCGTATATTTTAGCTATTTTCGGGGACTGCGATAACTTCCAGCAAATCGCGTGCTCCCGTCCGCCGCTTCCAATTACCAGAACACAATGCGACATATTTCGGGTCGAAAATAGCAGTTTTTGCTCACGTTTTTAAAGCAATAATACAACTTATTAATGCTCGCCCACGTGTTAGGCTTGGCGGTCAAAAAATAAGTGAGAGCGCGAGAGAGCACAATGATTCTCTTTTCCAGCTCTTCCAGCAGCTTTTGAATTTGAATCAACACCGCTCGCTTGGACGCTTCGATTTCAACTGAAGGCCTAGGGGCCTAGGTAGACGTTCATATGATGGCACAAACATACATTTATGTCAGGTATGTATGTATGGGATTATGTTTGTGTTCAGGTTGGGGGCTGATAAGAGCGTTTCCAGTGGGAAGATTTATATTTTTTGAGCACAGACAAAAAAAATGTATAAATCATGGTTAAACATATGAATAATCATAATTTTGGATTTGTATATTACAAAGAAATAGGATGTACATATGTTTGTATTTTGAATGTGACCAAATCGAAATATCAAAATATGTAGATAGCAAATTACCAGAGCAGATACTCAGATACTCGGGGATTCTTTTTTCTGTGTACCGCACTGTTTTTGTTGTTTTCGAGCGTGTTGGTTTTCAGAGTTGCGAATAAATAACAAAAACACGACGATAGCCTTTCGGGACCCCTGCAAAATCAGCGATCGCTGGGGGTAAATGTAACTGTAACTCAAATTGGAACACTTATCATGCTCATTTTTTTAAGGCAAAACAACATAAGATCTCAAAATTTTCCTCTTGTCTTGTTGCTTAATATATCAGCTGTTAGATAAAAGCTCTGGTTAAACATATATCGGGAGTAAAAGCTTAAAGCCCTTAAGACTTCATCGGAGTTATGGGGTAATTTTATTTTATTGTTTCGGTAAATTAAAAAATATCTCAACGCTCTGAGGGATGCCTAAGTCGGCCTTTAATAACCAAAGTTTAATCAAACGATTATCGTCAATTTAGGCAATGCGATATCTAGAAAAAACAGCTTTGTACAGACTTAATGAGGTCGAAAACCAGTTCAAATCAACATCCGCTGATTAATTAGGTATTAAATTGAACAGAAACAGGCAATAATCGAGATCAGATTCGACGGTCAATAATTTGAGGGATCATTGTACTCCATTCAAAATAATCAGGAAAGGCAGAAAAATAATCCTAATGAGTCACTTTGTGTTTAAAAACAAAGGATCAAAAATCAAAGTCTACTCCAATAAATATAACCACAATTAAAATGTTTTTTTGGGTCTTCAACTTCTTGGTGAGGAACCAAAACCATTCAGGTCTCTAGAATTCTTGCATCTCTTTTAAAATTACTGTTTCGTTTTATTAGTATGCATTATACAAAATTGTGTGGTGTGAGTTGTAAATTTACAAAATATCTACCATAGTCCGTCATAAAATTTGTTTTACATAGTTGTTGATGCTTGGGTCTAGCCAGTGGGTATAGCAATGAATATGCGTCACACCGAATGTTTGGCGACAAAGAATCTCAGAATAACTCGTGGGTTGTTGCTTTCGGTTGATTTTCTTTTATATATAAGAAACATGCATTTGAATCAATGTACCAAGACGAAAATAAGAAGTTGTTGAAATAGACAGGCCGCTCTCCATCGCTGCAGTCTGTTACCTGCGCATTTGAAAGCCAATGGAGCCATTCGGACAAGGACCCTTGGGCAAACGCAGGACGAGGTCGTTGAAGGGATGCGGATGCTGGCCGAGTTGCTGCTGATTCTGCTGTTGCTGCTGCGGCGATTGCAGCGACTGCTGGCGCAGAAGCGCAGCGGATACCGATCCGCCCACAACAGGGGACCAGCTCTGGGGATTGGGCGACGACTGAGGCGGCGCCTGAGCCGGCATCCCAACTCCTCCGAGTCCCGATCCTCCGCCTCCATACGGGGGCAGCCTTTGGTTGAAATGCGGCTGCATCGAGGGCGACGGCTGCTGTTGTTGCTGCTGTTGCGGGTTATGCGGATAGTAATAGTTCAGACCTGGCTGATTGTGCGGCCCCTGGTAGTAGCTGTTGTAGTTATTATACATTGGCGACACCTGGGACATTTTCGGAGCCGAACTAGAGCGATGCATTCCCACTGCTGAATGGCTACCATTGTTGTTAATGACGTTGTTGTTGCTGCTGGCAGCAGGGGGAGTGGCAGGAGGGGCCGCAGGCGGCGCAGCCGCACTACTGCTGTTTACAGCTGGTGAGCTGGGAGCAGCCCTGAAAAAAATAAAACTATTAGATATTATGGATAACAAAATATATGACTACCTCCTCTACAACTACAATTACTTTTGGGGCTTATATTCTATTAGATGTTTTTTGTCTTTCGATGTAAAGCTGGTATTATTTTAAGGCTTGGATTATTTCAACGCTTAGGTAACTAATAAAATTGTGACTTATGGTAATATGATAATTAAGTTTAAGTTTATAATAACGTAAAGGAGTTTATTAAAAGTAAATGACTTCATTTTTACATTTACTTAGCTATCTTTTGAGTGACTGAAACTTAAGAAAGAAACCCGGAGCTTAAAATGGATTTAGTAAGCTGGAGCATCTCGATCAAGATATAACTCCGATCTACATACACGAAGTGTAACCTAACAATAAACGGGTTATCATCATTTGTATTCTTGGATGGTACCGCGATGGACCTTTGCAATAAGCTATATCTTTCGAGATATGTAAAAAAGGTTAAGAAAAAAAATTATGAATGTAATAAATCTGCCATATTTTAACTGATCTGATCTATTCAGAACTTTACAATCAACTTATTTAACGTAAATTTGTTAATAGATTAGATTTAGAGACAGTGAAAAAATGGTCGTTCTGGCCTTTAAATGCTAGTTACTTACGGTTTATCATCCTCGGGGTTTTTGGCTGCTCCCAGAATGCGCAGTCTAGCCTCGGCATACTCCTGTTCGCGCTGCTTCAGCGTCTTGATGGGCTGCTTGGGTCGCATTCCGTTCGTGTCCCGCCGCTCCTCGGCCTGAGCGGGCCGTCGCAGGATCTTGACGGTCTGGTTGCTGGTGGGCGTGGCATAGCTGGCCGAGTCGTACTCGTTGGAGGACTTGTGCAACACCATCATGACCGGCTGCTGGGCAGGCGGATCAACCTCTGCTGGCGATGATTGGGGTTTTCGGGCAATTGTGATCTGCCGGGGCAGGGGATTCCCGACCCCGCCGCCGCTGCTGTTGATTTGTGAGGACTCCAGAAGGCTCTGCGGCCGTTGGAGCAGCTTCATCTTGTGGACTGGTGGGTCACTCGCCTGCAGCTTTGTTTGCAGAGTCATGGAGAGCTAGGAAAATGGGCGTTAGATATGGGCCAGAGATGTCAAATAATCGAAAACACTCACCCCCGCCTCGTCGATTTCCTCCCAGTTGTCTAACACATCCTCGCCATGGGACATCGTTCAACAAAGCACGTTGCCTGCCTGGTGATGGAATATATACTATTGGTTGCGTTTCTCGCTCACTTTCTTCTCTTGCGCCTGCTGCTGCAGCTCGCACTCTTACTGATACATGATTCCTTTGCACTTTTATCAGACATAAGTTATGCGTATGTTTGAAACACACTATTTTCACGAAATTCGCTCCCAAGACCTACTGAAAAAACAAAAAAACAATACGCAACAATTTGGCCTGCTGCTGATGTTGTTGTTGTTGTTCTTCGTGTCTTCTTCTTCTGCGTCAGGTCACAGCAAATGTCCGAGGTTTAATAGTTTTCCACAGCAGCTGGGCAAATGGTTTCCGGTTTTGGCCACCCTGCACTGCGCCAAAGGGTTCTTGGCCATTCACTTTTGCTAACCACAATTGCCAGCTATTTACACTTATCACTCAAACATGGCATGGCTCTCCTTTTTTGTATTAAAAAAAAGTGTGTGGCCGCTGCACGCGTTTCGCTGCGATTGTCGATCTGAATTTGGTATCGAGGTATTTCCGATAAGTTGTGTGATCGAAAGAGAAATTTAAAAAGTGTTCGGTTTTATTTGTGAATTTTCAATACTTCAGTTTTGTTTTACAAAAAGACAGTTATCTATAGGGTGTTTAGAAAATAATAGTAATGAGTTGACGCAATAGTTTGGCTCTGTATGTAGGCTGCTGCACAGGCAAAAAATTGTTATTTAGTCGATTTACAAACCTCTTGTCCTGAAAGGTATTCAAAACTCCGAGTATCTTTCAACAAATTAAAATTACCGATTTAACCATCGTAATAAATATAAAGCACGTCTTTCTTCATATTTATTTTAGAACCATCCCCATTTAATTATTTTGCCAGTTTAAGCAACAGATTATTAATATTTTTTCAAATATTTGTACATTTTTTAAAAGTACGAGAATAAGACTAAATCATTTAATTTTGATCAGCTGTTCAAATTTCAGCAGTTATAGCCGTTGAATCGGAGAAAGCCAGAGTTTTCTATCCTTTTTCATTAATAAGCAAAGGCAACTCAGTATCTCTGCGCGCTTTATCTACTATTAAATTAAATTTGGCATCATTATACTTCGTTGTAGGTTATTATTAATCTTAAACAGTAATTGAATTAATACAATTAAACGCAATTTAAAATTATTTTATTTTCGTGGGCTCGCGATTTAGTTGTTAAGCATAACATGACAAATTCTACAATCGATATTTTAATGTTAACTCTATGTTAAGTTATCAGCTGTTACGCTGCAATTTCACCGAAATCAAATGAAATATTTGGAGTAGATAAGAGCACCGCCGATTGATCATGGAAGTAGTACCCACGCATTATTCGGAAACACACAGCATTACCATAGGTCAGCAACCTCGCAAAGAGCGGTAGCGCTCTTGGAAACCTTAATCTTCGAACACGTGCGTCCATTTAAAAGGCTGACGGAATTCCCCCTTGGTTTACGTAAATAACTACGATCCCGCCATGACGGACGTGGAGAGCGCCGCGGCCAAAAAGTCCAATCCCGTAAAGTCCTTCATTGCGGGCGGCGTGGGTGGCATGTGCAATGTGATCGTTGGATATCCACTGGACACAATAAAGGTGAGCTTAAAAATCCATGTAACTCCAGAGATAACGAAGCCTTTTTGCTCCTTCACTAGGTTCGCCTGCAAACAATGCCCACTCATTCGCCTGGACAACCGCCCCGTTACAAGGGTGTTATAGACTGCGCCGCCCGGATGTTCCGCCATGAGGGATTTCGTGGGTTCTACAGAGGAATATCAGCTCCCCTGGTTGGCGTTACACCCCTTTATGCCGTGGACTTTGCGGTCTATGCAGCGGGCAAGAGGATGTTCCAAACAGACGACCACATACGGCTCACCTACCCACAAATATTTGTGGCCGGAGCGCTGGCTGGAATTTGTTCCGCCCTCGTCACAGTGCCCACGGATCGAATAAAGGTCCTACTGCAGACACAAACCGTCTCCAGTGGACCCCTTCTATATAATGGAACCATGGACACCGCTGTAAAGCTCTATAGACAGGGTGGGATTAGAAGTCTCTTTAAGGGGACCTGCGCCAGCATTTTGAGAGGTGAGGAGTTAATTAATAAGCTAAAATCGCTCGAATAGTAATTGCTAATCTGTAACTCCCAGATTCGCCCACCGGCTTTTACTTTGTGACCTATGAGTTCCTTCAGGATTTGGCCAGGAAGAAGTCCAAGACAGGGAAAATAAGCACAACATCTACGATTCTGTCTGGAGGGACGGCTGGCATTGTGTTTTGGACTTTGGCCGTGCCCTTCGATGTACTTAAAAGCCGTCTCCAGTCAGGTGAGTCATGCAATCACCACACGCTCCATTGTGTCAGTTTTGATTTCGTAATTTTACTTCAATTGCAGCACCTGAAGGTACCTACAAGCACGGCATTCGAAGCGTTTTTAGGGACCTTATGGCCACAGAAGGCGCCTCAGCTCTATTCCGCGGAACTCTCCCGATTTTACTCCGTGCCTTTCCCTCCACCGCTGCGGTTTTCTTCGGCGTTGAGCTCACCAATGATTTCTTGAAAGCCTAAACTTAAGGATTATTATATATCTGCATATATAAGAGAGGCTGTTTAGTTTTATATTTAATAAATGCATTGTTATTAAAGTTATTGGTTTTATTTTAATTGGATATCGTTTGAACTACAAAATGCATGGAACTTGAGAAATCATACCTGTTTAGACATGGTTATTTAAGGGGGTATACAGTGAGTCACAAAAGTATTCGTTGCAATGAGGGTTAACTGAAAAATGCCAATTTTAAATAAATAACCATTTTAAAGTAGTAAAAAATGGTTTATGTTTCCAAAGATATATATTTTGTGAAGTATATGACAAAAAAAACAAACGCTTTCCATAAAAAGATATGGACAAAAATATAAATATAAATTATACATCTCAAAAGTATTCGTTGCACATACGATTTTTTTATATTTTAGTATTGTTTAGGGTTAGCGAATTCTTTTTTTTTGGCATTTTGGTTGCATTTCTATTTTAAAGACTGATTCGGGGAAAAACACAAACTTTTGGTGTCATTCTTGGCGTAAATCTCTAGCAAAATGCCGAAGGGAATGGAATTAAACTTTTCACAAAAAAAAATTGTTTTACACCTACATAATGAGGGTCGATCGATTAAATATATTTGTGAGATGTTCGATAGAAGTCCTTCAACCATAAGGAGTCTCATTTCTCGACTGAAATCCAGAAATTCCCTGGAAAATCTACACCGTTCTGGCCGTCCAAAATCATTAACCTGCAGGGAAGAGAAGAAAATCCTCGAAGAAAACAGGAAAAATCCGCACCTTTCCGCTCCGAAAATTAATACTGTCATATCCACATCCCTGGGAACAAACGAATCCACTAAAACCGTTCGAAGAGTGCTCAGGAGCCAAGAAAGAAACCCTTGCTCTCAGCCATAAATATATCAAAGCGGCTTTCTTTTGCTCAAACGTACCTAGACTGGAATTTTGAAGAGTTGGAAAGTTGGTCTTTATAGATGGAATTATGAATGCTGAAGGATATTTAAAAATATACCGGAATTTTAAGTACTGGGAACAAGTAATATTTAGTGTTAAAAAAAATAAATTTAATATATTCGGATCAGATGGAGAAGGAAAAGTGTGGCGAAAGCCCTGTGAAGAGCTTAAACTGAAAAATGTTAAACCAACGGTGAAGCATGGCGGTGGTTCCGTACTAGTTTGGGGCTGCATTTCCGCTCGAGGAGTTGGAAAGTTGGTCTTTATAGATGGAATTATGAATGCTGAAGGATATTTAAAAATATTAAAGGAAAATTTACACTCCAGAGCCACCAAAATGGGCCTCGAAGACGGCAAGTTCATTTTCCAACAGGACAATGATCCCAAACACACGCCTTGGAAAGTTAAGAATTGGCGTTTGTACAATACCAAGCAGATTCACACTCCTCCACAGACCCCAGACGTCAACCCCATTGAAAATTATTGGGCCCATCTTAATCTAAAAGTTCAGGAACATAAGATTTTTCCAAAGAATGAGCTAAAGGAGATATTGCTGAAGGAATGGTCGAATATACCCGAAGTGAGGTGCCGAAACCTAGTGGAGTCAATGCCGAGGCGCTTACAAGCTATTAAAGACAACAACGGCTTGCACACAAAATACTAAATTTAAAAAAAACAAGAAAGCTAACTTCGGGCGGAGCCGAAGTTGATATACCCTTGCAGAATATTGTGTAAATTATATTCTTCAAAATTATTCATATGATGTATTCTTAATACTCATAAAACGTCCCAACTTCCTAACTTTAAAAACACCAAAATTATGGCATTTTCAATCGTTCAGTTATATGGCAGCTAAAAGATATAGTCGGCCGATCCTTATGAAATTTGGTAGGTCGGATTGATTGGCCAAAAATAAAACTCATAGAAAATCCCAACTTCTCATAAGGATCGGCCGACTATATCCTATAGCTGCCATATAACTGATTGATCGGAAATGCCATAACTTTGGTGTTTGTAAAGTTAGGAAGTTGGGATTTTTTATGAGTATTAAGAATGCATCATATGAATAATTTTTGAGAATATAATGTACACAATATTCTGCAAGGTATATCAATTTCGGCTCCGCCCGAAGTTAGCTTTCCTTTCTTGTTTGACATTGAATTGTTACATACGTTTTCACTACACACATGTAATCTTATAACTTTCATTCGAGTTCAAAAAACGAATATCGAATAACTAGCTTAGATGTTAAGTTAACCTCCGTAAAAAAATCAGAAATAATACATATGTAATTCGCGAGAAGATTTGTAGAAGCGATATATAACGGTATATATGTATATTTATACAGTTCTTCCACATTGACCGCCACACTGGGTAATAAAACGCTAAAGAAAAAGTAAACTTAAAATCTAAACGATTTGGACACATTGAATACCCAAATGGTTTATACTCACACTTGCATGTACATTTATTTAGCTGGGCTTCGATCCATTTGAATTGGAACCGTATATATGGATATATGCATATATCGATAGTTATAAGCCAGAATTGGTAGAGAACATTAGAGGGAATTCACTCCCAAACAAAGTTCTGTGAAAATTATTTCCAATCAGAAATCGATATAAGAAGTAAGATACGTTACAGATTTCGATAAGCTTTAAAATTGGATAAAAAGGTATTGCTGATATCGACAAATGCAATTAAATAATAATATGAACCTATAATATGAAGTAAGACTTTCACGAGAACATGGTTACTCACAAGTATTTAAGTTGGGTGATCGTACTTACTCATTCAGTGATTTGGCACCAATCGGAGACGGAAGTCGTGTTTTAGAATTTCCAATCAGAAAGCGATATAATAAGTTAGATACGTTACAGATTCTGAAAAGCCTTTAAACTGGATAAAAAAGGTATTGCTGATTTCGACAAATGCAATTAAATAATAATATGAACCTAAAATATGAAGAATGAGTTTCTCAAGAACATGGTTTTTATTCCAGTCTTATCTGTTGGTTGACCGTATTACTCATCCAGTGATTTTTCTCCAATTGGAAACGGAAGTCCGCTAGAAAATTGTGTGGACCACGTTAAAGCCGATTAACCATGGCCGATAGCAGGAAAAGTAATGACTCGAACGGGTCATTAAAAATTACTTCGTACAACATCAGGGGTCTGAAGGGGAAACACCAGGATATTGAGTTTATAAAGTATCTCGGTAACTTTGACATCTTCATTCTACTGGAGACCCACGCACTTCCCGATGCCCCAGCCATCGAAGACTTCATGGATCAGCAGCCCGACTTCGAGGTGTTGCACTGGAAGGATGCGACAAAGGAGTTTGATGCTGGCAGAGCAATCGGTGGGTGCCTAGTAGGTATCAGACATTCGCTCAAGGAGCTGGGCATAACCCACAGGGTGGGCGAAGCAAATGGCCTGAAGGTTCTCCAGCTCCGGATGGGCAAAAAGGAACTGAATGTGGTGCCGCTGTACATCCGCACGAAAGACTGGAAATATGAATTCAAGCTTGTGGAAAAGGCCTTTGCCAACAGCACAATCTGCCCAGGAAACGTGATTGTAATGGGCGATTTGAACTGCCGGATCGGAGAGTTCAAGCAGGAGGTAGAGCCAAATCTGTGTGTCGCCAACAGGAACGGTCGGCGGGCCAGTGACAAAAAAAGGTGTCCACACGGAAGCGTTTTTATTTCCTTCTGCGATGCCAACCAGCTGCAGATTCTGAATGGCTTGACCCACGGAGACCCAAAGGGCAGATTCACCTCAATCAGTGCCACCATCGACCTGGCTGCAGTGAGCCGCAGTCTGATGCCGTGGGTGGTGGACTTCAAGGTGGACACGCCACATGAGGACCTAACCCGACATGGGTCCGACCACTTGCCCATCTGCCTGGAGGTCGACCTTAACTTTCTGAGGGGCAGTGGAGCCAGGAGCAGGGTTTCATCACCGGGTCAGCCAAGCCATAGTACTGTCGTCCCATTTGATACAAGCATTCCATGGACCGAACCGACGCTAGACTCCCCTATAAAAACCGAGGAAGTGATATTTGTACTAAGACACCGCTCAGGGCGTAAGTTTCCGAGAAGAAGACTCAACAATGTTGTCGACGTAATAGCATTTAATTGCAATGACCTTCTCAACGAACCGGATGAGAACAAAACCATCATATCAAACATGTTTTTTTTATTATCAGACACAACAAGGATTGTACTCAACATCGTAATAAGAAGGCTGACTAAGTGGTGCAGAAAAAACCGATTACTAAGTGATTGCCAGTTTAGTTTTTCGGGAAAGTACTCCAAGATAGACTTTGTGTACAGCCTAAGCACCATTGCCAATATAAAGTTGGCTAAAAAGGGAACAAAGGTATACTCGTACTTTGTTCAGTTCGCATCTGTCTTACCAATGCTCAACGAACGGTTGTGGTTCAAGCTTAAAAAAATGGGAGTGCCGTCAAAAATAATAAATTTCTTAAGAGTCACGTGCAAAAGGGATGAATACCGAAACGAACTGCTCAATTACTTTCGGACCGGCAAAGGAGTCCTGTCAAAACTAATGTTCTCCCTATACCTATACGATCTTCCAGAGGAATTGGAGGGCGGACCAGGACTCGTCGTCGATAATCGCCGAGTGGGCATCCTGATGTATGCCGACAGAATTGCAATCCTTGCTGGGAGCTCTAACGCGCTCCAAGATATGATCAACCAGCTGGAGGAGTACTGCGACAAATGGGGCTTGTTGGTGGACATGGGGAAGTCGGAAGTGATGGTCTTCAGGCGGGGCGGAAGCATTTCCGCCTTTGAAAACTGGATGATAACCGGAAAAAAAATCAAAACCACTTCCGAGGCAGTTTTCTTTAACTTCGTGTTTACTACTGCGCTGTCGAATAAAAAACAAGTTCTTAAAATGATTGCAGACGCCAAAAGTCGCCTGGAGGACTTCAGTATTAAACGTGAACCCTGGATCAGCTTAATGGAACTGCACATGGTTCAAGTTTGGGGAAGTGGAGACTTTAAGGAGATCGACAAACTGCAAGAATTCTATCTGAAGAAAACTAAAAATACTAGTATGATCAATCTTAATATTCTTGCCTTCGATCTGCAACTGAAGTACATTGGAAATCTTTATTGGTGCCGCAATGAAAGTTCCCTGGCTCGATTTCTCACCATCAAGGTAATGGAGACAAATGTCCTGTGGGCAGAGCAGCTTAACACCCTTTGCGAACCCTTCGGACTGAAATGGAAGAGCTGTCTGATCTCTGAGCCAAAGTGGACTGACTTCGATTTTGCTCAGCCGTTTCGAAAAACCTTAAGTCACCACGTTTGATTACATTTTTTTTATTTACTTGTTATTTCCTTGCAGAGGGTATTATAATTTTAGTCAAAGGTTTGCAACGCAATTGCCCTATAAATTATATATATTCTTGATCAACATCACCAGTCCCTCAGTTTTAAAGCTATCTGCTTGAAACTTTCCCAAAAGTTGTATTTCTATTGCAGGTAGTATATAAGTCGGAAGGTAGCTTCCAAAGGAACAATCGGAAAAACAAATTTAAAAAAAGTATACCTTTGTTGTTTTTAATTTTTTTTAGAGATTTAAAAATTATTTACTACATCAGAATACGCTTTTAGTATTTTCGAAATCGGACAACAATATCATATAGCTGTCATAAAAACGATGGTGATCTACATATCTTCATTGATTTTATTAACATAGGCATAGAAATCGAAACCTAGTTGTTATAACTGCAAGGGTATATAAACTTCGGCTTGCCAAAGTTTGCCTCCTTTCTTGTTTTCTGTTTCATTTGTGTTATAAGGAAAGTTAAGATTACTTTGTTAGACCGAAGTTAATATACCCTTGAAAGTAAAAAAAAATACACTTGTCAATAAACTTATTTTGCCTGCACATATTATATTTTAATTTAAAATTTAAGCTGTTTCGATTTTATTTTCGTTTTACAATAAAACGAAGAAATCGCCAGATCTTCATTGTTTTTAAACATATACGGACTTTCTCCGACTTAACGTTTTTTAGGTTTATACCAATACTTTTTATAATATTATATACCCTTCACAGATATAAACGGAATATAATAGGAAAACCGACTGGCTTTGTTGTTTTTCGCATTAGTCGTCAATACATATGTATACAGTAATTTCATATTTTATGCACTATGATCATCACAAAGAAAAGGACAATATAGAAACGGACAGACTAAATTAAAGTACTTATGAAACAAAATACTAAATTAATACATTCGTAATCGATTACATAAAATTAATCCTTTTCAGATTGGCAATAGAAAATAATAGTGGAAATAATATGGCATAGTCTACGAAATTACATATTTCTTTAAAAGGTCCATGCACATCATGTTTTGATATACAATGTTTTCTATTGATTTATTATTAATATAGTACCTGGTAATTATACTCGGGACTCTCCATATCCCCGTTATTAAGTAGTATTAGAGTCGGAAACAATTTCTTCTACCTGTTACATACTTTTTAACAATATTGTATTCGTACCCTTTAAGAGCACAGAAACTTTTCAAAATAAATGGTTTTACCCTAAAAAATGTATTATTTCTTTTAATGTGAAGGCGGCTTTTTTCAGCTTAGGATAATGCTCTTTCGGATTAAATATCACTTGGTCTCGACAATATTTTGCAGATTTCCAGTAAAGTATTGGAAAACTGTTATTATTTGTGACCCACTACTTGACCTTTTAAAACACCGCTGCATGCACACTTGATTCGCATTATTTAAAGTCGTTCAAGCAAAAAAATGTAAAATTAACACAATTACATAGCCTGAGCATAGGCAACAGTTGATCGAGTATTTAAAAAAGTATAATTTCAAAGCACTTCTCTAGCTAATATTGTCCAATCTTCTTCTAGCACACACTTTCAAACTATCTCCTGAAGGCGGAGCGCCCCAAAAAGTTGACCTTTTTAATGGAAGAAATAGAATACATACATTGTCATTGTTTCTATTTATAAATTTATTCAATTTGGATATTTTTGAAATTAGACAAAAAAATGAAATCAAATCATTACTAAATTATTACAATAGTATTTTATTTTTATTTCTTTTTTTTTCATTTCTCTTTCTGGCCTATCCCATAGTTTCTACATGTTTAATTTTTGGAATGTCATAAAATCTCCTTAAACACTATTACGAGTACTCTTTAAAAATTGTATTACAGATGATTGCACATTTATCATAATATTTAAAATAATTGCAAAAAAATAAGCATACATTGTATAAATCTGTATACAAAAAACGCAATGTATAAAATATGAATATGAAAAACTCCTTAAAACACAATCGAATTAAAACATAATTGTGTGCATAGCATTGTTGATATCATAAATTCTTTGAAGCATTGGCTGTGATGCTCACTTGGTAAATGATCCGCAATCGGATCGATACGTAACTATAATACTAATCAAGAAAATCAGGCGCTTATAAACGACACTTCCAATGTAGTTTTTGTAACACAAATATTTAGCATCCATAGTCATTAACAGCTAGTTTTTCAGGAGGTCTTAATCGTGATACTCCGGAGTCTAAAAGTCTGGGGGTTAAACATAAAATAAAGTGAGTGCTATTCAATCATTTTGCTTCAAATCTTTTTTCTGTGACACTATAGGAAACAAAATTGTATAAATTGAGAGAGCTTGTTGCTTGAACTATTACAAAATACATTTAAATACCACGATTAATCCTTGAGTTATAATCAGAAGTAAATATTAATCGTGATATGTAGAAATCCAAAAAAATAATAAAATTGAGTTAAATAATTAAGGACCATTATTGTTGTTAAATCTATCGAAAGGTTTCTTTTGGTGAAATCTATCTAAATAATTGTTTAATCAGTAAAATCAATAAGAGACACGCCTTACAACAAATTAATAGGAGTGTTACTTTGACAATAACAAAAGATTAAAGGAATGTCCCGATTCGTGTTTTAGTCCGCTTTAAGATAACCAATACATTGGAGTCGATAGAATGGGGAATCTTGTGATGGTAATAAAAGATCAATGGAATATCACGATTAGTCCTAGAAGTTATATATATAAATAGCTGCTCAGTTTCCAGTTTGGTTAGCAGCTCAGCCCGCTTGACTAGAGTTTGAGCCGCCGCCGCCGCTGGCGAGTCCGCCGCAGCAATTGCTCTGCGCTGCCTTGGCACTGAAGCTCCCCAGGCCGATGGAGCTGCCCTCCGACTGCCGCTGGGCTGCCGCCGCAGCAGCGGAACCACTACCGTCTTTGCTTCTTGCCTGACCAATCAGTTCGGCGGCTATCTCGTAGAACAGCCGCTCCACATTCTCTGCCTCCTTGGCGGACGTTTCCAGGAAGTACATGTCGTGTTGTTTGGCGAACTCCTCGCCAATCTGGGTGGGTATCTCGCGATCGTCCCGGTCCGTCTTGTTTCCCACCAGAATCTTGAGCACCTTAGAGTTGGCGTACTCTTGAATCTCGCGCAGCCAATCCGGAAGGCAGTCGAAGGTGGGCTGGCAGCTGATGTCGTAGACCAGGATCAAAGCGTGGGCTGATCGATAGTAGCTCTGCGTGATGGAGCGGAACCGCTCCTGGCCGGCGGTGTCCCAGATCTGCAACTTGATTTTCTCGCCCTCCACCTCCACCGTTTTGATCATGAAGTCCACGCCGATGGTGGCTCCTTGGCCAGGTGGGAATAGGCCCTGCGTGAAGCGGCGCACCAAGCAGGTTTTTCCCACGCCCGCATTGCCGACCAGGACTATTTTGAACAGGAACTTGTAGTCCTCCATTGGGGCTAGTGCCGAAACGGGTTGGTTTTTGGTTTACTGGGGTGTGTGCTCTGCAAACGTAGTCGAAAGTTAGTCGGAGTTTGGACACACCTAGTCAGCGACGCGTAACGATTATAATATGGTGCGGTGGTGGTTCGTCGGATCGGCTTACGCCATCCTCGCCGAAGACTACGCCTCTCACCTGTGGCTCAATTAATACCTTTGTGGTAAGATGGGTGGTTCTAACGACTGATGGCCTTGTTTTTTGGCTTATATGGCCAAAAGCTGATGACTCAACGGCAAAAGCAGGTGCTCGTTTCTCGCTTATCGCTGCGAATCAGCCCGAAATCCATTCAGAGGGGTCTTGGCCGGGCTCTCTGTGTCTGGGAAATAGCAATCAACTGGTTGCATGCTGGCGCATTAATTGCCAGACCCCTTTTTACGTATGTTTACCAACAGAATTTTGCTGCTTTTCGACTTGTGATGGTATTGAATTAGTGCTGGAAGAAACCTCGATAGGCCGATGTATTACAATTTGCTTAAACATCGATTTTGTTTACGATGTTCGATGTTTTTCGTGAACTCATTACGATAAATGTCCAACAGATGACCGCGTAACGGAATTATTTCAAATTTTAGGTACATTAAAACCAGTTTAATTGTATTTTTTGTTGTTAGTTACTGTTTTAAATTATCGGTAAACTAAAAAAAAAATTAAATTAAATAAGGTATCTTGAAGCGGCCAGGCTGAAAACTTTTTTTTTAACCTGTGGGATGAAAACCTGGAGCTATGAAGAGCGCGAGAAACAATCATGTTTATAAGAAAATCTGAAGGTAATTAAGGGACCAGTTTGTGGTGGTCATCCCAAAGTCCATCAAAGGGAAGACTAAGTCTTGGTTCTCTCCCATTTTAAGAACGCTCTTCTGAAAAGAATTCATTTAATTTATATGAATAAATCATTAGTTGCGGAAAACAATCCACTTGCTAATGATAAAATTATATTTAGTTTTGCGTTAAGGTCCATATTATTAACAGTAAAACTAAATTATATCTTCCTATTTTCCGGCCGATAAGCTGATTTTGCAATCAGTCTCAAAAACTTTTTCGGAATATATCTTTAAAAAGGCTTTGTATATGTGAATACCGTATTATGGGAATACCGTAAAAATCAATCAGAGGAATGCCCCTAATAAAAAATAAGTGTTGAAAAATAACAATACTGCGACTGAGACTATCGATTGTTCTCCATCGATACGTTTGTGACAACCCTGATGCCGAAACAAGCAGCCACGCTAGAGAAGAAAATCTAGTGGAAAATTCACAAAAATTGTATTTTAATAAACGCAATAGTCGAAAAAGAAGTTCGTAAGTGGTCTTGCGAATTCCGCTGTGCGTCCCCACCCCATTTTCATTTATTCAAACGAGCCAGACGCCGAGCAGGGGACTTTTCTCACGGAGCACCCCGCACAGCAGAACCGAGGAAATTTTTAACATGGCCGAGGACTTTGATGTGGAGGCGATGCTCGAGGCGCCGTACCAGAAAAATGTAAGTTTCCAATGCCCGAAATCAGGCGATTATCGTTTATATTAAGACCCACTGGTTTTTGTGCAAACCGAATACATTATTTTGCTGTGAAAAAAGAAAAACAATTACTTCATATGTATGTTTGTATACTTCTTTTCCCACATAGACACCCACAGGCGCGCTTGTGTGCGTACGTGCATTTTGTGTTTGTATGTAAGTCGTCGTCTCGGGCACACACACACACATGTGCACATGATGCATACTAAGTGGTTTAAATCGATTTTTAACCTAATTTTGTTGTTAAATAAAAAAATCGGCAGATAAAACGGGACACAGTGCTGATTTGGGCATTTTAAAAATATTTATTTTCATATTTGACTGCGTGCCTACAGAATTATTTCGCCTACGAAAACCTGGCTGTGTGTGGGTTTGTGTTGTTTATTTCCCTCCGTAGCATTTGAAACAGTCGTGTCCTGCCGATTGATAGGATGTGTAAAGTGGGGCGCAGAATATTTTGCAGGTTTGCAAGGGCATCAAAAACGTGTAACAAGTGTCTGAAAACATAAAAATGTAAATTAAAAGAAGAAATAGTTTTATAAAACTAGGTTCTAATTTAAAGTATGAGCTTAAAACATAAATATGTATGTCTTTTGAGTCTTAATAATGCTATTTAACAGATTTTTCGTGTTATCATCTTGGACTTGAATCTAACCTAGTGACTTTTAGTATATATTTGTATTTCCTTATCTTACCTGGGTAACACAACTACATCTAGGCCTAGAAAAATCTTTAATAAAATTTTTATTTGTTTAGACTTTGATTGATTCAAATGAACTTAAAATAGTAACGTAGATATGTATGTCTTCTTATACATACATATGTATGTTTGTTTCCATCTAGGATTTAAAAGCACCTCTAAAATGTCCTTCAATATGAAAATATTTTTCTTTTCAGTAAAAAGATTGTTAAAAAATATAACAGAAAGTTTAGTTAATAAAAATGTTAATCATATTTTAACTGGGTTATTCATTTGTTTAAGGTTGCTTGCAACTGCCAAGTGCAAGTAGTATTCAGAGGTATCCAAAGAATTTGTTAACTAAGAAATTGAATGTTAGTTATGTAGACGCATTGTTTTGCTAAAAACTCCTTTAAAACAATTGTTTTCAGCAGAGGTTTCCAAAATTTGTTTTCAATGAAATTGAATCTAAGTTATGTAAACGCATTGTTTTGCTAAAAACTCCGTAAACATATTGTTTGGTATAGAAAAGATAAAAAATTCAACTTTACAAAACTACGAATAAAATTAATCCGTCTGTTAATGAGTTAAAAAAATGATCAAAATAGCCATTTACAAACTTGGGGTAAAAGGTAAAAAATCGAATTTTCTGTAACACAGTGAGAAAAAACTTAGTTACGATCCGATAGATTGTCCAATAAAAATAAACTGATTTATATATTAGGTTATTATACCGCTTATAATGTATTACTAGTGGATTTACGTATACAGTTTATCAAATGCACTTGGATCCATCTCAAATTTAATCACAAAAGTATGGAACCTATTAAAATCCCTCTCTCCTCGAATCAAGAAATCTTGAGTTGAATGCTCTTGTTTCTTCCTATCTGCTGTCTCACTAAGAACAACCAAAAACTACCCACACACAATCACCATTAAAAAATTAAAAACCAAAACAAAATGCTAGAATAATTCTTAAGGGTGAAATGTCTTTGCAGAAAATCGAATAAGCTCAATATTGTTGCTAGAGATTGTTTTGGTCATTCTAAACACAAAAAGCTGGAGACCATTTGGTAAGTTTTGAATGTGCCAGAAGCTGCGAAAAAAACCAATTACAAAATTAAAAAACAATAAAAAAAAACCAAAACATATCTAGGCATTTTGTATTCAATATAATTTGTTTATGTTTGAGTTTTTTAACACAAACCAATTGAAATTCTTTATCTTACTGCTCTATGTAAACCAATGAAACTGAACGTGCACTAAATTTCAGATTTACTCCTCCTAACTTGTCTGGGGCAGCAGGCAGCACAACTACTACTCTCACTCACAGTCAGACAAGAAAGAAAGTATCGCTCAAATTACAAATTACAGATTTAAACAATCGAAAAATAAGCAATAATGACCAACACAAGAGCACAAAAAGCTAAGCCTAAACCAAACCTATTTGAACAAACAAAACGTAACAAGCAATTCTTAAACTATCGCACTGAAATCTTACTTATATAATGTCTATGTCCTATATATATAGACGACGTCTTTTTGAGAACCAATCAACCAGTCCACTCCACTAGCCAGCGCTAAACATTACCCCAAAACTGAACTGATTGAGAATGAGCATGAGAAATTTGCCCATGTGGAGACAACATTTCTCGCCGTCGTGAACCATCTGTGTGTGTGCCATATACAATATATATTAAATATATTTAAACTACGTATAAGATCTCTCTATATCTATATCCTTATTACTACCTTGCTAAAAATTGGCAATGATCCCCAAATGATCATTGTTGACTTAAGCATTTCTACTTTATATACTTGCAGATGCCAAAAATTTAACTAATTTACTTTGATTTGCTTTCTCTTATTCAAAAAAAATATTTACGAAACTGAAAAAATAATATATCATAACAAACTCAAATGATATAATCGAAAATCAACCAACATCAACAACGACAACAACGTAACGAACGATCAACACCCGTTATGTGTTCCCACCCACCTAAAAAAACTGAAACCAATCGACAAAAAATAATCCACTTATCTGTATCTACATTATTGCTTGCGCCCACCCCACCCATCCTCCCTGTCCACTCCCACCCCCGATCCACAAAAACAAACAAAACAACCCATCTGTGTAGAATGTCAGTGCGGGCAGCGGTGGACGTGGTGGACGCAGGCGCAGCGACAGCACTCTCGGCGGCGGAGGCCACGACGACGACCACGCCGAGAACGGACCGCGGAACGGCAGCGGCGGCGGAAGCTCACACAAAAAGCAAAGCAAGCGGTCCCGGTAAGTGCAAATATGAAGGATTAAAGTTTCACGTAGAGAATGCAAGTTTAGTCTCGGAAGATTTTGAGCCCTTGCACCCACAATGCAAAATGTTATATTTAAATTAAACCATTACAAAGGCGCACCATATAATCTAACGAAAAGATGTTAGTCCTATTATATTAAAGAAAGCATTACTTTTTACGATTTGCGAATTTCCTATAAATTGTCGCTTATGAATTACTTTTTTTTCATTCCAAGAAGAAGGGTTAAATTATTATTTATTCGCCTAAATTCTGATATAGAAAACACTTATTCATGAAAATTTTACTGACTTAATGTCATCATGTTGAATCTAAGGAGCACAAAGGAGCTTCTCAATTAATTTAAATTTAAGTCTTAACAGCCAATAAACGCAAGGAAGAAAAATGTAATCTCAAGAGATTAAACTTAGATTTAATAGTTAACTAAAGATTTAGTTACTAATTTTAAATTTGTGCTAAGACTTAGTGAACTTTTGAATAGTGGTTTCTTTATAAATTTAATCAAAGGTATTATTTTTTGTATTATTAATTTCCAGTTATAATAAGGCGTTTATTTTATGGCTTTTGCTATGTTATTTAAATGTTTATATTGCCATACAGTCGGCAAGGGCTTACAAAGTTCGGCTTATGGAATTTTATTTTCTCTATCAATAAATTTGCTATAACATTTATAACACTAACAAGAAGTCGATATTATAGCAAAATAAATATACATTTCACCATGCTTAGAAAATATAAGATCAGCATAATTTAGAACCAAGTCAATGAAACAAAATTATACAAACTAAACACTAATGCCATCCCTTTGTTTTACTTTTGCAGGAGTAGAAGCGGCTCACGAGATGGTAAAACCCGGCGTGATCGGGGCAGTGAACGCAGCAGTCACCGGGATAAAGACAAAGAGCGCGATCGACACCGCGACGCAGGCGACCGGGATCGGCACCGCAGAGAAGGTGGAGATCGGGATAGGGAGCGGGACCGTGAGCGCGAAAGGACTCGTCGCAGTCGGTCACGGGACGAGCGTGGCGGAGGAGGCGATGATCGTCGCATGCGGTACGGCGATCGTGAGAAGGAGCGACGCTCGAGAGATGGTCGCGGCGGCAGCAAATCCTTGCAGCAGCAGGATCGCTCCCGAGATAAACGTCGTCGCAGTCGCTCCCGCGATCAGCAGCGCAAACGGCTGAGTCCAATCCGTGAACGCAAGCGCAGCCATTCCCGCTCAAAGGATAGAAAGTGAGTTGAGATTATTTTGGATTTAAATATAATAAGTTGAGGAAATATTATTATGTTTTATTTCGAATTAGTTGAACTCTAGATGGAGTACATATTTGTATGCTTTTGATACGTTTTTTTCCTAATTAAAAGTAACAATCTATGAAGTATATTGTTCTCACCTTATTTAGTTTATAAAATTACTTTAACTCGAGGAGGAAAACTGTAAAAGTAAATATTAATGTCAATGAGTTAGTCCATCTAGGGTAAATAATCAACTAAAGAAGTTTAAACTTGATGACAAAATATTTAGTTTTTTGTTATTGTTTATTCCTTTGCTAAACTGTTATTTAAAGTAATTATAAAATTTATATATATAAAATTTATGTATTATTTCCCAATGTAGCAGCCGTCGTCGGGGCAGCCACTCTCCCCGCCGTCGATCGCCGATAAATGGAGCAGGCGACCGAACCCCGCCCACCGAGCTCAGTCCCGAGGAGCGGGACGCCCGCACCGTCTTCTGCATCCAGCTATCGCAGCGCGTGCGTGCTAGGGACCTGGAGGAGTTCTTCTCCAGCGTAGGCAAGGTCCGCGACGTGCGTCTGATCACGTGCAACAAGACAAAGCGCTTTAAGGGCATCGCTTACATTGAGTTCGAGGACCCAGAGTCCGTGGCCCTGGCCCTGGGACTCTCCGGCCAGCGGCTGCTCGGCATACCCATCATGGTGCAGCACACACAGGCGGAGAAGAATCGCCTCCAGAATGCGGCGCCCGCATTCCAGCCGAAGAGTCACACGGGTCCCATGCGCCTCTACGTGGGATCACTGCACTTCAACATCACCGAGGATATGCTGAGGGGAATATTCGAGCCGTTTGGTAAAATCGATGCCATTCAACTGATAATGGACACGGAGACAGGTCGATCCAAGGGATACGGATTTATAACGGTGGGTTTCGGGTCATTTGTAAGCTATTGGAAAACTTAAAAGGCATTGCAAATGGAGTTCTTACGATGGCGTGGGATGCCAACTAATAAAAGCTTTTCTTTAGAAATTATTATATTAATATTAAAATTAAGAAAGGATTTCGTACTATTAATTAACAGAGATTTATAGTACGAAATTCATTCTAAATATAAACATTTATATAATAATCCCTAAGAGTAACAACTCAATGTTTCGGATGTTCATATGTTTTTTAAAGATGAAGCACAGATGCCTAATTTTTAATTCACGTTTTAAAGATCTGAAATATTACGAACCTTCTGTATAGTCTGTTAAAAAGTTTATATATTTCCCGTTATTAAATAACTTGATAACTAAACTGCATTATCTGATTTTACAGTACCACAATGCTGACGATGCCAAAAAGGCTTTGGAACAACTGAACGGTTTCGAGCTAGCCGGCCGCCTCATGAAGGTTGGCAACGTGACGGAGCGCCTGGACATGAACACCACCTCGCTGGACACAGACGAGATGGATCGCACGGGCATCGATCTGGGAGCCACGGGGCGCCTGCAGCTGATGTTCAAGCTGGCGGAAGGAGCTGGTCTAGCGGTGCCTCAGGCGGCGGCCAATGCTCTGCTGGCCACAGCTCCTCAACCGGCGCCGGTGCAGCAACAGGAGGCGGCTCCGTCGATAGCCACACAGTGCTTCATACTGTCTAATATGTTTGATCCGCGCACCGAGACGAATCCCACCTGGGACGTAGAGATCAGGGACGATGTGCTGGAGGAGTGCGCCAAGCACGGCGGGGTGCTGCACATCCACGTCGACACCGCCTCGCCCACGGGCACCGTCTACGTCAAGTGCCCTGGAACAACGACGGCGGTGCTGGCGGTGAACGCACTGCACGGACGCTGGTTCGCCGGACGTGTTATTACGGCCGCCTATGTGCCTGTAATTAACTACCACTCAATGTTTCCGGACTCAATGAACGCCGTCAATTTGGTGGCTTCCACGCGCAAGAACACCGACGATTGAGCGCGATTTGTGGCAAAAAGATTGTTATTATTCGTTACAAGAAATAATTTTTGGTCAAAACATTTTCAATTTTTTTAAAGATTTTCGACGCAAGCTGAAAACTAGGGGCACACATATTAAAATACAATTAAATACATTTATAAATATATGAATTCAAAAATTACTTTAAACTTTTCTCGCCTTAAACTTAATATGACGACGAAATAACGTTTTACTGTAGACCGCCTGAAATGCTGCAAATCGAATTACTGATGGAAAATAAAATAGTACTAGTGCTTAATTTGTAATTTGCTAGTTTGACCGCCAAAAATGTAAGGACACTGACCGACTTATCGATAGTTGGCTTGGACGTAACTTGATTTTAAAATTATAAAATTCACGTATTCGTTAAGCCAGGCCTAGTTTTACTTTACAAATATTTTGTAGAAAAAACCCTAATCAAAAATAAAACAAAGTCGAAGAAGTAATGAGCGTTCACCAAAACAACATGATCACTGATCAGTGACGGATTATGCGATCCGCCATTTTAAAACCATTACAGTCGTTATTACCGCCAAAAGTTTATGTTTGGAATGTTTTTTTTTTGCTGAAGAATTTAGGTTGTCAAAAACGTTTTGTTTACAACTGCAATTTCATTATGCTAAAATAGAAACGAATATTGTTTGTTTTGTCATTTTTTATTCTACTGTAAATTTTTATCGATATTTCAGTGGTCGCAAAATTTTAGAAGCGTGTATCATGGATTATGTGGTGTATTCTCATTTCTTTTTTTTATGATGAAATGGATAAAATAAGCATCTGGTCAAACCATGAAACTCGTAAGAAATCTATTATGAATATTGATATTGTTCTTCTAGTGAAACGCGGCGATTGAGTTTCAAGGAGCGATAACGATTGGCGTGGCTGCAGCGTTATAATGTCAATCCGATAGTTTTGGCACAGCCCTGGTTCTTGCATGTGTTGGGCAGCAATCGAAATCTGGCTAAATAAAATTAGTTAAATTCTTTACCACTATAAACGCACACAGAAGGTGCACGTCGCATATTTTATAGACTTTAAATAGTAGTAAACATTTTCAATAACTGACGAGTGCGATGTTAAGTGCGGAATTAAAGAAAATTCCATGTGACCCTTGAATTTCCCAACAGCGTGGTGTGCGTGCGTGTGTTTGTGAAAGCAGCGCAACGAAAAAATGGCAAACACAAGCCAATTGCAACAAATGTAGGTACTACAACAACAACATGAAGGGTTATTGTAGAGTCGAAAATGAAAATTCAATAATTGGACGCCTTGACGCAAAGGTTAGTTTTTCCGAGAGCTGTGAAATGTATTATGAAATGTGAGATGTGTGTGTGTTTTATAATTCCCGCACACAGGCAAACGCACAGCTGCGCCCCCGCAAATTTGTGCTTGTGTGTGTGACAATTTTTGACCTCCCCCAAGCAGCATCCTCCATCCACCGCCCCCACAAACCAGCTGATTCATGCTGCCTGTGATAAATCAATGGTTTAATAATAAACAATGTAAAACTAGACTAAACAAGATGCAACATTAAATGGTGTCGTCTAATGACCCTGCCCCATTAAACAACAACAAGCGAAGCGCGTCTTATATAAGTGAGCAAGCAAGTGTTGGTGTGTGCGTCTGAGTGCCAAAACAACGCAACTTTAGCAAATTGGTTTGCTTTTTGGCAAGCGTTTGAGAATTGTCGTCGCTTGGAAATTAATTTTAGAGCATTATGCCATCCACGCTAGTGTTTTTAGCCTGACAATTGCGCGCTTTCCGTCTAGAAGAAAAGAAATTCAAAATTGAAAAATGTCTTCCTGTGTGTGTGTATGAGAATGCGTGTGTGTGCGTGTGGTAGCAGCGCTGCCGAACTATTACCGTTAGCCGCCGGTTTCCATTCACGATTTCTGTTTTGTTTTTATTTGTGGCTACAGGCAAATTCCTCTTAGTTATTCGATTTTCTACGTGTTATGCAATGCAAGCTGCAGTCAAATGGGCAAAAAGAGAGCAATTGATTTTCTAGTGTTATCGCGACCATATCGCGAATTTGCGGGGAACACCTTCTTTTAGCGTCACATGCTAAAAACTCTGCTCTTTGTGCGTCATCGTGAAAAAGTCAAAGCCCGTCGCAATTTGCAAACTTCAATTCACACTCAGCTGTTCGAATTCCTTCCTCACGATTATTGCTTCGTGCACGGAAAGAAAATCAGATCGATAATAACACAGTTCATATCATTTGGTATGTTATTAATATGAAAGCAAGAGGAAATCAACAGATGTACGTGGAAGATGACATTACATGGTAGAGTTTAGAGCATCTGCCCGCGAAATCACAAGCAGGAGGTTCAAAACCCACCCCTGCAAGGATGCTGTTTAAATTTATTCAGATTAGTTAATATCATTTTTATATATTTAATTGTTTACCAATTTAAAACAAAACGAATAATTTGTTATTCAATGCTGATAAATGTTCCAAAATTATATTTAATATCATAAAACTGGGCATTATATCATACACTTTTTCTTTCTGTGTGGTGTTTATTGTCTAATTACACTCATGTTAGCTCGTTTCGTTATTATCACCACGGTTTTTGGATTTCTGAGTGCAGGGAACGCGCCTCTGAGCACGTAGACTATCTGCCTCACACGATTTTTACCATCTCTTTGGTTGGCTCTTGGTTCTGCTCTTCGAGTACTCCAGATTGCCGACCTCGAAAACATGGTTATGACTCGACAAAGCTCGCAGACTCCGCTCAATCAATCTTTGGCGGGCCAAGAAAAGTCAGTAAACGCCTGCGCGACGCTCTACGCTAATCGTTAGTGGTAAAAAGTTAAAATATACATTGATGGTCTTTTTAAATATTTTAAACTAGTATAAATAAATAAATGAATTAAATGCTAAATTTATAAAACCTGATAGAATTTTAGTCTTTCAGCAGTCACTTCTGATTCCAAAAAGTTAAGGTTTTCTAAGCCCAGTTTACCTGTACACTCATCCTACTCAGCTTTAGTTTACAGAAAATCTATATCTCATTTCGCTGTCTTAGGTTTTTTTTTATATCTCAAGAAAGTGCAGCCCCGCATTAATTTAGCAGCGCAAACTTAAGAGCATTTATAGGGGTTTGCATGATCTCCAGTTAGAGGTTTGTTGTGATATTTGTAAAATTATTTCACCATTTCCAAGAAGTCGTTAAACTGCTATCAAATAATTATTCTTGGTTCGACATTTCCTATCTTAAAACAAATATAAATTACAAATATTATCTTTCTTTGTAATCGTTGTTTTTTACTATTATAAAAAAACGTTTAAATCAAGTGCAACCAGAAAAAAGAGTGATGTCATTGATTGTAATTGTAACTAAACAATACCTTCAATACTTATAACCCAGAATGAAATTGCACCGTGTGAGGAAGACCGAATCGCGTATATCATGAAAATCGCTAAACATTTCACTCGGGAGTGCGATTGAGTGCGGGACTTTGCGACTGCCAATTTAGTAGTTGATAAATGTTAGTAGAAAATCCTTTGACGTTTTGCTAATATTTATAGTATTAATAATCATTCACATTCACCCGCCGACTTTATCAGTGGAAAGATAAGCGACAGTCGCGGTCGTTCCTTCCCCTCTTCGCTTGCTAGCAATGAACTCATACTCATGGTAAATAGCGAAAATAGAGTGGAAAAAGTCGCTTGGCAGCTGGCTTATTAGTTTCATGTGATTGCCCGAAAATTAACACAAGCCCGCCTCTCCCTCTCCACTTTCAGTTGAGCAACTAACCAGACGCGGAACAAAGGAGGAGCCCCATCCAACGAAGCATCAACCCCACTCCCAAAATCAAGGACTAACAAATCCACGACAAACCTAGGAAACCCAGGAACGATCATCATTTAATGCTATCCGCAACTCTGGGGGCCAATGGCGGCTCACAGCCGCTCAGTCCCTCCGCCCAGGCGACGCTCAGCAAGCACCTGCCGCGCCTCCAGTCGAAGCGTCTCCTTCAGCAGACGCAGTCGCCGGCTGCCCTGAAACCACAGACCTGCGATGCCAGTTGCCTAACTGGTGAGTAATTAAAATCGTTCCATACCCAAGTCTGAGTCGCACATTTTTTGTGGATTACAACTTTTTATACCCTTGCAGAGGGTATTATAATTTTGGTCAAAAGTGTGCAACGCAGTGAAGGAGACTTCTCCGACCCTATAAAGTATATATATTCTTGATCAGGATCACCTCCTGAGTTGATATAGCCATGTCCGTCTGTCCGTCTGTCCGTCTGTCTGTCTGTCCGTCTGTCTGTCCGTCTGTCTGTTTCTACGCGAACTAGTCTCTCAGTTTTAAAGATATCGAATTCAAACTTTGCACACACCCTTCTTTCCTTTGCACGCAGTATATAAGTCGGAACGGCCGGGATCGGCCGACTATATCCTATAGCTGCCATATAACTGATTGATCGGAAATGCCATAACTCTGCTGTTTGTTAAGTTAGAAAGTTGGGACCTTCTATGGGTTTCATATTTGGCCAATCAATCCGACGTACCAAATTTCATAAGGATCGGCCGAATATATCCTATAGCTGCTATATAACTGAACGATTGGAAATGCCATAACTTTGGTGTTTTTAAAGTTAGGAAGCTGGGATTTTTTATGAGTATTAAGAATGCATCATATGAATAATTTTGGAGAATATAATTTGCAGAATATTCTGCAAGGGTATTTCAACTTCGGCTCCGCCCGAAGTTAGCTTTCCTTTCTTGTTAAATCGGATTCTGATAGTATAATGTAAAAGCAAAGGGTGTGCAAGACTATCTAGAAGAAAGTGAAGTCCGTTGGTAGATCATATTTATAAAGTTTATTTAAAATCACGTTTGTTTCAATACATTTGATATTTTATAATACTCAAAATATTCTGAGAGTTTACAACTTTAAATCAATGTATTTTTTTTGTTTTCGTTATACACTTTTAAAAACTTGCCTACTTTAGCAACAGTTTCAATATATAATAAATAAGATAGTTATCAGAAAATAGTGTATTCCATTTGTTTGTGGTACTTATATTTTGATATAATTTGTGTGATAAGTCACGCTTGACTGTAATTGCATTTTGAATAAAATCTTACACTATCCTGCTAATGATTCATTTCTAATATACCACAGAGCT